AACACATGGTGAGCACCACAAGCGTATGCAGGAACAAGAACAAAAAGAGCACCCACCAACAACTTGATTCAGTGTCGACTTCTGCAAGATGGGCTCTTTGATCGTTTCCTTCACAAAGGCCATGGACAGGTAAAGGACATGTCGAAGGAGGAATATAACCCAACACACTTTCCCACTCAACTAGAGTTGTTTCCCTCCGGGCGAATTCAAAAGAGAAAAGCACACACACACTCACATATCCTAATAAGCATCCAAAGGCATCACACCTCACACGACGTCATGTGTTTCCGCCAACATCAAGATGATTCCGAATGTTATGTTCTTCCGTTTGCATAAAGCAGAACCTCCTGGCAACCATAAATTGAGCATTGGATCCCTGCGACTCCGCACACCAGAAGACACCGAGGGCAACTCACAACAAACCACTGCCCCTGCCAAACAATTGCTACACACACCTGCTCACAATCTCTTTTTATTGCGTCATTCCACATCATCTCAAGGAGCATCGGCACAACAAAGAGTCACCCATCAATCCCGGCAACCCTTTTCACTCCCTCGTCGGTGTTGCTCGCATCACGTCAGTGGTGCACCATCAGCCAATGATGCCCAACAGTAGCCATGTCGCATCCGCAGATAGCAATGCGCATGCAGTGTTTTTTTGAGGATGACCTTCAGCTACCTCTTCAACCCACAAGTTTTACTTCTGCAGTTGAAGTAACCCACATCTGGAAGCCGAACAAATACAGGCTGCGTGTTCTCTTTCCCTCTCCGCACCTCACACAAATACAGGGTAGATGACATCATTGGCATAGATTGTGTAATCTCTCTTGGAGACATCTCTCGCCCGCCCAAAAATGTCGCATCGAGGCGAGTGGGGATCTGGACAACACCTACTTACGACGGATTTGTCGTGGTGATGCAGCTAAAGCGGGGATTGCTCGAACTCCCAAGGATCCTTACAGCAATCATCGGGTGCCGTGCACCTCCAATTTGTCTCCTTATTTACTTGGAGAGTCTCACGCAACAAGTACGTAATGCTCAAGCTCCCTCGAGGTACAGAGCTACTTGCCGCCAATTAGCATACACATCCCTCTCGCTTTCATCCACATCCGTCACCAGCACCTCCCGCCATTAACATCTGAAGGCACATCTAGCATGGCACCAAATACAGCAACGGGAAGAAAACAAGATCAACAAAAATAGCCAACAAACACAGGAGCACCACAACCTTAGCTATCCGTAATTCACAGAGGCTTCTGTCAGTCAGAAAATGTATCCCCCCCCCCAAATCGAAACGAAGTGCGCTCAACACGCAGCTCAACGAAAAACATCTTTTCAAAAAATACCTCCTCCTAAGCATGCCCCTTTCATACAAACCTCACCCAGAAACAAGAATCAGCACCAAGCACCGCCAGCATCGCATAGCCACAAAAAAAGAAAGAAATTTGAAATCAAGGAAAGGCACAAATGCAGCTTTAATGTAAACATAAGCCGGTTCACTTTAGTATCATTCCATGCAGGAATCATCTGTCGGCAGTGTCACCGGGTATTGATGCAGTTCTCTTAACCAAAAGTTGTAGCTCTTTCTCTCTCTAGGTTTACTCATATCATCTTTCCCAATCTTTTCAGTTGTACTCCCCTTTTTTACCTTTAATCGTATTGGAACTCATTCTGCTTTGTCTATTGTCTGTATCTTGTAGCACCGTGGGAATATCGCATTTTTGCCAAGTACTCGTGATCCTACTGTTCGGATGCTGAAGGTTGATGATCTCCCACAAAAGGTCTTTGGAAAACTTAGTCCAACCTTCAAAAAGCTGTCTCCATGTACTTCTTAAACTCCAGCACCGTACTTGTTTCCGTGCGTTACTGGCGGGCCACAGTAACTTGTAGTCCAGTCACTGTTTTTTTTTGCTTCACTGCGTCGTTTGAGTTGAAAAAAAAAGTTCCATCCAACAGTGCAAATCCATCTGATGATGCCACGTGCAGTACCTTGTCCCGGATCTCATTTTTATCGTTGGCATGTGCAAGAGAAGTTCGCATTGGCAGTTCCGTCTCGACAGTGGGGTGTACCAGCCAATTCTTCTGTAACACACTATTTCGCTCTCGCCTCCCAATGGGATTAATCTCCTTCAAGTGTTCATGTATGCATTTTGCAATGCCCGCGTTCATTTAGGCCCCCACCCCAATGTGCTCTACAGCCATCATCAGCACTTCATCATAGGGAATCAAAACAGAGAAAAAGGCCGCAGCTTGCCCAATGAAGCCCCCAGCCTGCTCTTTAATTTGACTCTCAATTACAGGTAAAGGAGGCAAGTTGCAGAATAAATGAAAACCATTTGGCCCCACCGGCTGTTGGGCTTTCACAAGCTGATGAGAGAAATCATCGTTCTGTCAATGACCTTCACTGTACCCACCAAAGTACAATTTTGCATTGGAAGCATTGGCACGCGTCATCACGGCTTTAACGGCATTGAGGCGGTCCCTGTAGCCCTCATCGTCAACAACGTAACGGGGAATCAGTTCTACATTGTTTATGCGTTAGATGATAGTTTTCTATTCTTTATGTTGTCTCTCCCTGGGTTTATCGCGGCAATTCCACACGTACAGAGACTTCAGCTCACCCATACTTGAGCAATTCATTCGGACACGCACTGCGACGTTCTGTTTATCCCATCGTTTGAAGTTCACTTCGTGTGGAGAGCTCAGAACAACCATCCCCCAAGAAGTAGGAAAAACAAAAACCGAGACGGTTCATCTCCTTGTTTCGCCACATCGTAGATAATGTATCCCCTCAAACTCCATGCCAGATAGCCCACAGCATTCTCTCCCTCTTCGAGGTTTTCGTAGCACTCCACGCCTCCTTGTTCTTCACCTCTGGTCCTATGAAAGACAAACACTTTATTTCTAATGAAGTATGCAATCACCGGAAGTTCGTTCCTTGTCGTAGTGCAACAGTTGGTAGAGGAGATACGAACCAGCTCCCATTGACTTCCCTAAACTAGGCGTCCTAATCAAACCACACCTTCTTGGCTTCTCAGCTTCTCCCCCACCACGACTCTCAAAGCATTCATCTATATCACGCCTCATGATGCGACAAACACGTTCCGTCTCTCAATTGATGTGACAGCCGTCCGTTGGTTTCTTGCTTAAACCACGTGTACGGCCAACCTTTTTTTTTTCAGAATGGAGTACGATTAACTCAACACGTGGTTTGTGCAGATAAACCACCTCCTCTGCATTGTCGTTATCCTCGTCCCCATTCTCATTTGCAGCCTCGGGAGAAAAATAGTTCACCTCACTGTCCGTCCACTCTCTCGTCGGCTTGCCTTTCATCACCTTCCTTCCAACTCCTCTACTGTAACCAGAGACTTTCACCACATGGTTCCATTTAGCGTTGAGCACGAACTCGTAGACGCCTGACCGATTTTCCCTTAATTGTGGGCGTTGCTCTTCTTTGATTCTTCGTCGGTGTACCGCATAACCCTTCCTCAATTGTCATCGATGTTCCTCCTCTACCTGCTGATAGTTCTTTACCGCGGCAAGGGTTGCGTCTAGCATTCCCCCTACAAAGGGGGCAACTTCAACATTTTCTCTGTGCTCATTCCGCAGCTGGAGATAAAAAAAAACACCAGCATGGTTGAGTTTGTGTTCAACTTCCCTCATCATAATCTCTTCTTCCCTCTGCGCTTCCCTATTTTTTCCATTTCCTCTAATATTCCTTTGAATGACGGCATCGCAAGTATGACGTTCAACAGCTCCTCGTCTTCAATATATCTGTTAGATTTGACGACAAACGCCTCCATACTGACATCCTCATTGGCTTCCTCAGCACACCTCTGCCACCAATTTGTTCACGAGGGAAGTCATTTAGCTTCATATTCACGTAAGGACGATTTCCTTTGAGAAGGACTTCTTCCACTGCAATGTCGACAGTCCACCTGGGTCTATTAGCAGCCTCTGTTCTTGCACATGAAGCTGTGAACTGAGCACCGTTGCCGTCTGAATCAGTTCTTGGTCCCACACGGCCGCGTTGTCCCTACCCCCACCCCCAGCCACACCAGCAGAGACAAGCGCGGCATCCCCTGCAGGAGCATTTCTGTTCTCTTCCCCCTTTCCCGTCGGAATTTTTTTTTTATTCCTTATAGTGCGCCTTCGCAACAAATAAAACAGAAACCAAATAAACCAAAAGAGAGTAAATGAAAACAGAGAGAGAATGAAATGCCGATGATCCATCAGCGAGATAGCTGAACATCTTTATTGGGGACACTCACACAGGCACACACAGAGACGCAAGACGCAGAGCCAACAGAAGCGAAGCACGTGGTGCTTTTCTTCTCGTATTCATGGTCAAAAGTGTGTAAAAGGATTCCTCCTCAAATGCGCATTCATGAGTTGACAGATAAATAAGACACAAACTGCATTACTCCTCACGAAATATATAGGGCACTCCAGCCACGCAATGATCCCAATTCACGTAATAATTTCCAATGGCCACTGTTCCTGATTCCGTCGATAGGCGCCAGCCTTGTAACGCTGGCATTTCCACCAGCAAAGAGGATACAACTGAAGTGTCAATTAATCTGGGGAGAAAAAAAAGGCAAAGGGGCATCAAAATATCTCCCTCCACCTCTTCCCACTCCACTCCTCTCAAATCCCGCATCGAACAATAGCAACACATATAGCTTCCGCACAACGCAAACACAACTTGAAACAACAGGAGTAACTTCACTTGATGATACCTTGTTCCTGTACCGTCACGTATTCTGTGGGCACCTTAATCCCCGCAAATCTCATTCTTGCTTTTTCACAGCCAAACACAAAAAATACGCAGTCATCTCTTGATTCCCCACCGCGGCGCCGCGATGGCTGGGGGAGATGAAGATACACAAAGAAACAGAGAACGCTAACAGCCGGGAGTCACATCTGCTCACGTCACAGATTTTTATCACCAAATCAGGTACACACCCACGCACACATACACACAGACAGCCTAGTTGCCTCATCCACAGTTACTAACAACTATGTGCCCATAGAATTCTGCAACAGCCGTCTGCGTTTGGGTTTTTTTTTTCTTTGGTTTCTTTGGATGTATATGACCGGGTGTAGGGAGAGAAGGGTTATGAGAAAGAAAAGCAACTGCTTTACATAGCTTGAAAAGCTGTCAAACTCATGGAATAGACATAACACCCAACAACAACTAAAGTCTGCGTCAATAAGCACAAATTCCGCTCAAACAAGCTTTCAATCAATTCTTCAGCTGAAACTAATGACACGTTTCTTCATTTTCGTATCGGTTCTTTTTCGCTGTCTTGGCTGCACAAAGGCACCGCATAATTCCTGGAAGAAGGGTACATCCTTCAGAGTTGTCGTCCACATCACAAACCACAGTAATACGATAACTGTGCATCCAATAAAAAGCACAATGACCCCAAATATAGTGCTGCGTAGCGTTTCGTCTAGCACCCTGACGACCAGGAGCATTCTACCTATTTCTACAATTAGATGCAGAGAAGGGATGAAAGGGGAGGTAGTAATAATAATAATAATAATAATAATAATAATAAAATCTTGTGAAATCATTTAATCGGAAAGGTCATATAGAAATAAAACTTCTTTTCGTGCGTGTAAACGATCATATGTACTAAAAATATATCTGACTTCAAACTCGTCACTTGTGGAGACTGTTAATGCTATCTACTCTCTTCCCTCGTGAGCCTGGAATAGAAAGGCAATCATAAGAACGTTTGTCCTGAGAGCCATTAGGCGAACCACTTTGAAAAATTTCGTCTACGCCCAGTGAGCGTCGATTCGTTGCTGTAGAACTAACATAGGCCCGAGTTGGGGTAAAAAATGGATCGGCCAAAAGCTTACGCGCAGTTGGCCTTTCAGATGGATTACGTCTACAGCACCGCATGATGATTTCTTTCGCATCACTTGAAATTCTGTCATCTACCTGAGGAACAAAGCTTTCCACTTTTCCCACATTGTAGAGGAAAACGTGTGGCGTCATATTCTTTACGTTTGGCCAAGGCAGACTACCACTTAAGATCTGAGCCATCATTATTCCGAAACTCCATATATCGGACGCCTTTTCAGCCTTGCCCCGTGCGGCCTCAGGAGCGATGTAGGGTGGAGTTCCCTCTGGTCTGTTTGAAGAAGAGATTTTCTGGAGACGCTGCGATGTGCCAAAATCACTCAATTTGCACAAACCATTCTCTAGCAAGAGCACATTTTGCGGCTTAATATCACGGTGGACAATATTCTTTCGATGTAGATATTCAAGTCCCTTAAGGACATCCCTCAGGTACCGCTTCGCACGGTTCACCTTGACTTTTGAAAACTGCCACAGCAGGTTGTGTAGGCTGCCGCCACTTGCCAACTCCATCACAACCAGAAGTTTTTGATCCAAAACAGCGCATGATATGTAACCCACTATATTTGGGTGCCGTAAACGAGAAAGCAAACTCACTTCATTAATAATCGCATCTAATGCCTCCTCGACGTTCCCTTCGACGTTTATACCTTTTCTGCGCAAACGCCGACGGTTAACGCTACTCATATTCTCAGTTTGTGTATACCGAATTACTGAAAGTTCAATCGCCTTGATAGCGACCAAGGCTCCCGTCTGCGATAACCCGATCGATACGCTTCCACATGCTCCAGTGCCCAAAATACGGTTCGACATGCGAAATATCATCCCTTGACGATCACGAAACTCTGTGATATCCGGCCTCCAGTCGATATCTGGAGATGCTGGGCAACTAGGGCTACGAGCCCTGTAAGCATGGGGAGCCAAACCGACCTGATGGCCATCAGTTGAAGAGGCCGACGGTGGGCAAGTACCATCTCGACTCAATATAGCTCGTCGAAGCTGATCCTCGACAGAGCTTGCCTCAGGCTTCCTCCAGTGATATGAATCCTTCCTTTTTTGTAGTGGCATGTTGGTTGATTCATCAACCTCTACAGGAAATAGCTGCCATTGAGGTATGCGTCTCCGGTATATTTTCCCACTTTTCTGAAGATAGTAGCATAACTGTCCCAATCGAAACGTCTGCTCATCTCCAGGGTTTGCATCATAGATATCACAATACATGCGCTCCGCAGTAGCGTATTCGCCTGCCTGGAAATATTGAAACGCTTCAACAAGTTTTTTATGATGTGAATGGGAACCCTCAAATATCTCGTACACAACATGCTGATTATTGTTGGCATCTGTCACGCAATCTATCGGAATACAACAACATCCACCAGGGCAGCTTTCAGACAAATCCCCTGTACATGCATATTTTACACCCAGGGTAATTAAAAGCGAAGGAAGCTCTTCACCAAGGGCAACACAATTTCCGTAAATTGGCATGGCTCTTTCATCCTCAGTACCAACTGTTCCGGCCAGAATGTAGCCTGAAGTTGCCATCACTACCGGGGTCAGCTTCATGCGTGTGGAATACGTCACCTCGTAAATAAACGAATCAAGGGCAACAATTGTCTCACAGACACACTGCATCCCAGCCTTTTCGTGGCTGGAAGCATCACTGAACGCATTCCATTCAACAATTACCCTGTCTGATGTTACTTTCAAAACTGTACCACCATATTTGTCAGCGATGTCAGTCACAAGAGAGTGAAACTCTTGTGATAGGTAATGACAATATCGTAGATCTGCGTCCATCTGTGGCACGAAACCAGATAGGCACGCCACCATCAAAGTAGCCTTCCTTCTCTTCAATCCGGATTCAACTCCTCCATGTATTTCACTGACATTCAGTGTCCTATATGAACCTTCATTCTCAGCAAACTTTTTTCTACCGTCGCGTGTGACACTAACAAGTGCTCGGGTCTCATCGCTTCGATGAGTCAGAGGGTAGTCGGTTAGGCTGGTGCGCAGAGAGGCGGCATGTTGCCTCCCAGGTGAAGATGCTGCTCCTACTACATTTATGGATCCCAATGTTGGTGATGATTGTGCTCCGGGTGTCCCTATTCCACGATCTTCTCTCTGAGATGACTCCGCAATCACCCCAGCCATTTTTTTTTTAAAGATGGTATCGGGAAGCGTTTTGCGGAAATGACGTATAACCAAGGTAACGTTGTTCATGACGTCTTGAACCTTTTGCAATTCGACTTGATCAGAATAGCGCTCCAATAAAAAGGTTTGCTTCTCAGTTATAACATCCACGTCGGTGTGTTCGTTAACGTACAACGGAACGCTTTCTAATTGCAGTTTACTCAGCAAGTCGAAGGCATCGTACAGGTGAGATAACTCTCTCTCCAGGCTTCGTGAAACATGTCTAGAGAACCCCAGCAGTGCAAGGGCAAAAACAATGTACGTAACGATGCATGCAGTTGATACGCCAATGAGTATGCCCTTAGTATGATTCACTGTCGACAAAATGGATGTGGCACCACATGTTTCCGCCTCTTGGATGGCGTTATTCCAGGTAATTCGGTTATCAATGTTGGTAAATAAAACAGTACCAACCAGGCAAAGGCCAGCGATGCATAACTGAAGTGAAGTGCCGAACATGGAGACTTCTGACAACGAATAGAAAGCCTGAGCATCAGCTTCTGTTTTCACTGTGGGGATAGGGGTTTCTTCGTTTGCGACAGTGGAATGCTCCCTACTCGTGTTCCCGTCTTGCCGAGTACTCTCCGCTTTCGAGCAAGTCATTTTTTTCTCTGTAGTACCTCCAGCCTATTGCCAACCAAGAAAAAAAAAACAAAGGATTCATGTCACGGTTGGAAATAGTTGACAAACGATTATTAGTGTACAAAGACTTCTCGGAAAGGAGAAGGATTGCTTTACCCACTTTCACGCTGTAGGAATTTCCCCACAGTACACCAAAAATGCACATAAAGGAAATGCATTAACAATAATAATAATATTAATGACAAAGCGTCTCTCATTCAAGCACCGGAAACATATTCGTACACTTATGCTCACACCGCCCAGCATGACAAATCTTCTCGCACTTTTTCCCGCAGCATGTTAGCGTCTTCCAGCACTTTTTACCACATGAAACAGAGCGTCGGTAACAAGGTAAAAAATATGGCATCACGTTTCCGTGCGAGTCACACCTCTTTTCAACAGGAACAACACAATCTGGGCACTTATCCTCAATATGGCACGGATGATTGGGGGGATGGCCACATGGTCGAGGAATACCACATGGGTGGCTGCAATTCGGAGGTTTCGTTCCGCACAGCACAGGTGGCTCAATCCATGACCTTCGGCAGCGGCAGTAGAGACGCTCATAGGAGGTGTTGCTGCACGGAGGACAGATTCCCCTGTGACAAAGCTGTCCACAAGTGTGGAGTCCGCAAGAAAGTCGTTTCGTGCAAATTTGGTAACACGTGTGATCCTCATTAGTACAGCACACCTCTTTACAGTTGTGCTTTCCGCATGAAAGATGCTTTCGGCAAGGCTTATTACATCTTGGCGGGTAGCAAAGGGGCACCTTCTCAGGAGGAACACCCAGTTTTTGAAGCGCCTCGTGCCATTGCTCGCTTGGCATATATTTGCAAAAGCAGGAATATCTAACACTGCTAGAGCCGCATTCGCATTTCTTCGAGACAACCTCCATGCAAGGTGGGCATACAGGAGTGTCGTGGCAGACAGCGGAACATGTATGGTCGCATGAGAGGGGCATTCCACAAACCATTCCACAGGATGGCACTGGATCTAGGCATGAACTTCTTGGGGTGGTGATGAGCTGGGAGACTTGTACTTTGCCACAAGGACAAAACAACTGTCGCTCAGGAGTTCGTAGGCATGGTTGGCAAGGTCCTTTATGGCAATTGAAATGGCACTTGTGGTTATTGCAGTCAAGAATTTTGGAGCAAGGCTTGCCACAGGAGAAAGGGCCAACCTCACCACACCGACTTTGCCTTTCCACGGTTCCACAAAAGCAGAATTCCTTTACGAGCACAGCGCAAGTCGGACATGGACCCTCATGGCATGAAGCTGTACACCGGTGGTTCCCACAGTCGAGGAGTTTCCCACAAATATCGTTGCACTCAAAGCCGTGAATACCACTTGAGCACCCAACGTTCATCTCAGACTTGCCACAAAAGCACTGCTGAGTACGTGTCAAAGGGCACGGAGGACAGGGCCCGGGGTGGCACATAAGCGTGCATGTATGCAAACAACAATGATCCGTACGGCGTTTTTCACACACTTGGCCACAAGATCCTGGAACTAGAAGGAGGTCCACAGCTGGGTCCTTTATCTTTCCGCAGAAGCACCTCCATTCATCAACGGCAGAATCCGGATTCAATGATTGGCAAAGAGGACACCGAAACGTATTCAAAGAATAGCGGTCACTGGTAGGGATTTCACTACATTTTTTCCTCTCTTCAATCTGTGTCCTTACCCAGAACTTAATACACAACAAATGTACAATTCCATAGCACACAGGGCATGACCAAAGGCCTTGTCTAAGATGTACAAACTCAGAGCACACTGCACATTCGTAGCACCCTCCCTTCAGCCTTTCGGATACCTCTCTTGTCAGTTCGGTCGCTTCACCCATCGGAGTGTGTCTTGCGGAAGGAAGATCATGAGGAAGACAACTTTGCAGGATTCAGAGGCAAACCAATAAATAAAGAACGAGCAAGGCAACGCAAAGGTAGATCCACATGCACACAGGAAAAACAAAGAAAAAAAAGAGATAAATAAATACAAATACCAACAGAGAAAGAGAGAGAGAGAGAGAGAACTATACGTACACATTGAGTCCTCTTATTAGAGACTCGTTCCCTGCATGTACATCCCCAAATCTCGTCTCACTTCCGGATTGTTAAGCATTTCGTAGACATTCCAACACTCGGCAGAACGAAGTGCCTGTGTGCATAATGGTGCAACGAGATTTTTTCGTGATTTGTCCTTCACCATCCAGTACGACCATGAAGCCACTTTAGAGAGCTTCTCAGCCATTTCCAATGCTGGAATAAGAACTTCGTCTGCGTTCTCCACAGTCTCATCCACAAGTCCAATGGCCCTTGCAGTGGAAGCGTCAACAAGTTCACCAAGCTGAAGAAGTGACTCGCACCTCCTCGGTCCAACCACATGGGCGGCGACAGAAACAAGGGATGGTGGAAGTGTAAATCCATATTTGGTCGTGTCAATACCAATTTTAAAAAATGAGCCAATGTCTCTATCTTTTTCCGCCATGACTCGGTAATCCGACGCCAGGGCCATAATACAGCCAACCCCAGTGGCATATCCGTTTATGGCCGCCACAAGCGGCACAGGAAGCGTATTAAGGGTGATATAAAGCCTTTGGAGCTGGCTCCAGTAGGATATAAAGGAATCCTGTGAGAATTCTGTGTGCAGCATATGCAGATCCAGTCCGGCGCTGAAAACACCGGGGAGCGCCGACGTGATGACAATACCCCTGCAGATACCTTTNTCCGGGTTGCACAACTCGCTAATCGAATCCATTATTTCACTCATGAGGGACATCGAAAAAACGTTCGCCACGGGGTTTTTCATGGCAAGAATTTTCACATCTTGTATTGGCGAATCCGTAACTTCAACCAACTTATTTGTGAGCATAGGTGACGATGCCGATCCGAAACTCCTCTTCGCTGCAAGTCTTGCAAGCCACACCCCACGCCCACCTCGCCGCATGTCCCTAGAGTCTGGAAAGAATGAGGAGTTATTAGAATTTTCTTTTTTTTTTTGGGTACAGAATGCAGAACGCGAAGACCCCATTCTTCTTCCAGAAATCAAATACAGTGCATCCGAGACGCATTCACAGCAAAGCAATGTGAACCACATCGACTGAACAAAGCAAGAGGAATCACAGAGTGACCAGACGGAACCGCTCTTAGAGGGCAAAACAGCGAGCATAAAGGTATTCCATGCCGAATCCAAACGCAGGTGAGCGCGGCATAGGTGAGCCAGTCATTTGTTTGCGTGTTGATGTTTTATCTTCTTCGTTTTTTTTTTTNTGTGTGTGTGTGTGTGTGGCGTGAATGCGTCAATAAGCAGAGAACACAAGAATGGGAAGAGAAAAGGAAAGAAAAACAACGAAGAAGACAGGTGTGATGCTACATGGGCACATGTATATGAAACTGCACGTAACATGTCGCACGACGGTAGCCTGGATTTGTCTGCCTTAACCATGTCGCAATCGCTGTTACGACTCTTCTATGAGGTGAGAACGAAAGAAAAAAAAGGAAATGAATATTTCAGAACGAAGAGAACCAAGAAAAGAAAACGAACTGAGTTTTAAAATCTGCGCGGCGGTGGAACTGCGCTGCCAGGATTTGGCATACGTGGCGCCTTGCCCCTCGTCGGGAGCGGTGCGGCCCGTGCTGTGTTCGCCACATGGGGCTTCTTGCGTGGCCGCTCGTCGTCGTCGTCCGACTCGTAGCCACGCTTGCGGTCGTGTGCCTCCGCGCGCCGCTCCATCTCGTCCCAGCTCAGTGCGCTCTCGTCGTCGTCGCCATCGCTGTTATCGGGTTCGCTCTCCTCGTCATCTTCGAGGAAGGAGCTGCCGGTTTCGTCCGTTTCCTCATCCTCTTCTTCGTTGTAGGTGGAGTCGTCGGAGTCCGTCTCCTCGTCACCCTCCTCCTCTTCGTCGCCGTCATTGTCGTTGTTGAGCACCGCCCAGCCGGCCCCCGGCCGCCACGGGTCCCACTCCGCGTCGTCCAGGATTGTCTTCAGCACAACCTTCCAGTTGGGGTTGACGGTTGTCTCCATGTAGTACAGACGGGCGGCGAGGCACCAGTCCTTTATCGCCTCCAGACTGCTGCGCGGAATGGTTGTGATTGTCACCGCGGGCTTGCTGTAGTCTTTGAAGATGAGCGACATATCAAACGTGGATCCACCCGGTATAACGCGCTCGAGTGACACAACCTCAATGTCAGCCACACGCTGTGTGAACGGTGGTCGATCAGAGATTGCCCAGAGAACTTCCCGGTTCGCCTTAAATGTTGTTAATCCCTTGGCGTGAACACCATCAAAAGAAAAGTTACTCACTGGTATCTGCGTCTTCATATTGCTCATCTTTTCCACTGCCTGGGCAAACCGCATAAACTGTTTGTTCGTCTCACTTATACGCATCTGTTCACGTTCCTCTGCGGCAATCTCCTCCGTGTACGACCGCCTTGCTCCTGTGACTCCCTCACTGCTCTCCATAACATCTGCCACAAATTGAACTTCATCGACGTTTTTGCGTGCAATCTCAATACCCTTTTTCAAAGTAATGTGATAAATAACACGGATAGCGTTCACTGCTGGCTGAAAGATCACGTGCTTCATGTTATCGAAGAGCAGGTCGATCGGAGATCCACCAATATAAGAGAAACGCAGGCCGTTTTGATGAAGTTCCAGGTTTCCAATACAGTCCTTGTTTTGCCGGCCAGTTGTTGCTGTAGGTCGTATTTTTATTTGTGGGAGACGCAAAGGATTAGGTGTGACACTGAGTTTCGAGCCACCCGCACTTGCAGAAGCTCGACGCCGCTCTGTGTCCCTGTTTTTAATCCGCTGGTGAATACCCTGGATGGCGATCTTCACCTCTGTGAAGACATCCCGTGGGGCACGATAGCTCAGTTCCTTCACGAAAATCTTTGTTCGATTTAGGCGGTACGCAACATTCGCTTCTTGAAGAGAATGAAATGTGAACGTACAGGTTACGTATTCCCCTTCAGGCTTTATATCAACCTTGTTGATGGTAACAGCATGGAAAGCTGCTACACCATTGCAGACAGGAAAGAAAACTACTTCCTTGTCAACATGCACGTAGATGCCATTTCGTGCCTGTGGTGGAAATGAGCTCTCCTTGGGGTAGGGGATCACATCACCATATGAAACACGTCCAACTTCGTACACACGTAGTTCCTCTGTTGCAGTTGATGTCGCTTTCTTTCCTCCGGCGGCAATTAATTCGGTGTGCAGTTCTCTCAAAAGAGACCTCAACTTCTCGTCACGCGCCGATTCTCTTGATAGAAGAGGCACACTGCTCTGTCCCTGCCGGGTGATCTTGTGTAAATCGCGTGTGGCAATATTAAACGCCTCCTCCTGCGCATCACCCTCGTAAAGAATTTCCTCTACCTTGCGAGATGTCTTTGTGTTGAGCTGGGCACCACCACCGTTGACCGTAACAGTATCAGACAACTCCACGTCGAACGTCTCCCCTGAACCATCTACTACTCCCTCAAGTACCACACGCACAACAAACGTCATACCATCTTCAACAACCGCCTTACCCTTTTCAGAGATGCTTCCACGAGCTTCCAGCACAAGCAAACCAGTTGAGAACCCTAATGATTTGAGCAAGTAGCCTGCCAGTGTTTCGTTAGTAGTCCTCGCGTATTCCATGGCCGCTTCGTAAACATCATTCAGCTTTGCCCCCACCCGAAGCAGTTCAATCACCTTCTCACTAATGGAGTAGACAAATTTATACGCCTCTTTGGCAGTCGGGGGTGCGTTGGCCTCCACAATGAGGGTCCGAGCGAGAAAGGCGGTGAAGCCACAGTTCTTGACACCGTATCGGATAACAATGACGTCACCTCGCAGGGGCTGTGTGCTCACTTCAGTAGTCTGAATCGAAGACTTGTAGGTGCCGCGGTGCATCACACATGTTGTTAGACCAGAGGCGATCGAAAACTGCGAGGTGTCGAGCGTTTCCAACCCTTTCACAGTGTTAGGCATCTCAAGTTTCTTGCTTAACTCATCTCGGATCGAGCTCAATGTTTTAGGGCTCGTCTTCTGTATCTCCTCTTCAATTAATCCACGTGCAAAGCGGCGGAAGACGGCGTTACAGAGTCCTGCTGCCTTCTCCACACACGACACCGCTGATTCATCCTTGACAAAGAGGAGTTCGCCCAACAACGGGGCGACCTCCATCGTCCGCTCTGCAGGAACAATACTGCGTATCAAATGGATGAGTTTAGTCGCAAACTCCCCTTCCTGAATAGTCAATTCCTTCTGGCACAATCCAACAGTTGATCCTGCGAGAAAGGATGACAGCTCCTCGCCAGTGTTGTCATCCAGTCGAATAGACGTGTACGTAAAGGTATCCGTGTTCGGTGGCATTTCCACGGAGACGCCATCGTGAATCACACAGAGTCTTTCCAAAGAAAAGAGCACCGCGACGTTGCACACAACTGTCGGTGAGGAAAAAAGGTACTGCATCACCGCCTGCCCACGTTGATTCTCGAGGGTGTTTGGTGTCAGTGAGCCAAAAAGGCCGCACATCACATTACATCCCTCTCCAGGATCTTGGGTATTTTTCCACGCCGACAGAATGTTCGCCACACGTGCATTAGATAGGGTTAGCACCGTCATTATACTTAATAGCTATAAAAGCTCTACACAGATTGAGAGGAACAAAACAAAGTAGAGTAAATCATCACTGTTGCAGAAAGGGGAGGAAAAAAAAACAATTGGTGTCCCACTAAGTACAGCCTTCCAGAATCCTAAGCAAAACATCACCATCAAAGACAGACCGCGCAAAGAGACAATGGAACAAATGGACTACTTAACACGCTTGTACTTTAGAATTTTTGCACGGCGTGCCTCCTCTTGCTTCTCATGTGCCTTTGTACGTAGGCTCATCAATTTGTACTTCCTGGCCTTTTGCATGTTTTGTCGGTATTTCTTCCTCGCCTCGAAGTACTTCTTCATGTCGTACACCTTCTTCTTGGGAGGAGCGACTGTCGGTTTAGCGCTCTTCGCATCCTCCACATCTGCCTGAGAGACCAGCTGAGGAGCCGCAAACTCATCGCGGAAGTACATGAAGAGCGGCGGACTCATAAGCTGGCATTCGTCTGTTGACAATTTAGTGAGGTCCTCCTCCGCGGTCGGAATAAATGTTGGGAACGCAGGGAGGCCCCGATGCTCATTCCACAATGTGTATCCCTTTGTGTTTATTGTATCGCTAAACTTCACATATGTCCCGACATCTGCGTCGATCAATGTGGGGAGATAAATAAGAGAGTTTTTGTAGTCGATACGCCAGACAGGCACACCTTGGTATGTCTCTGCAGAGGCGCCTGTCTGCCCTGCCATGCGATGGCCAGGGTAGATGCGCTTCTGTCCTTCCGTACCCATACAACCCGGACGGCGCTGCCACTTGGAGTCGCCCAGCCACACATAGCCGCCGTCAAAGCCGTGGCGAAACATAACACCGCGGTAGCCATAGTCTGTGTTCTGGAATGTAATAGTGACTTCTTGGCCCGGCTTGAAGTGGCGCACGTCAAGCTTCGTGCCCACAGGAGCATAGGCGTCGGGTGTAATGGCAAACCCTGCACAGACGTGCTTTACAGGAACTCCAGAAGCCTTGTAAAAGGCGGACACGTGTGGTTTGTGAAACTCCACGGGCACGTTCGTCGCCCCAACATACACCTTGTCTGTCCCTACATCCCCGTTTCGCGTGCTGTGCTTTACTATCTGATTGTCTGGAAACCAGAATGCGGTGCAATCAAACTGATTTCCAAGCTCGTCATAATCTTTGCATGTGAATACCTTAACGCCAACCATACCAAACCTCACCGAATAGAACATGTTAAATTCACCAAAAGGAGGAGGATTGTCCCAGGCCCGTGTGTCTTGATACAATTCGGGAAACTTTTCACGGAGACGGATAAAGGCGTCGTATTTGTCCTCTCGAATGGCATCATAGGTTGTCTGCAGCTGCTCCGGTTGCCACATCCGTGGGTTATCGGGAATCTTCGGATATAGACTCATTTTATCACCATGGTCAAATAGGTAAGGATAGTAGCAGTGGTACATGTCGCGGTCCTTCTCCTCCATCAGCGATGGGTAGCAGCGGTACCAGTCGGTGCGGATGCGCCGGTCACCCGGGCCGCCTCCAGTTCGACGCCGGCACTGCGTATATACCGCAAGTGTCAAGGCGTCACGCATGCCACCCCGCCGCATTCGTACTAAAGAGCGCATCTACAGACGCAAAGGGGGTGGGGGGTGGGGGAAGGTACAAGAAAAAGTAAATAAATGAAATGGAACAATGTATACACTGCGAAACTGAGAGAATGTCACAACAATAACAAGCGAGAGGAACACAGGTGATGCTTTCACACCAGAAGGCGACGTGTGGTTTGTACAAACTCGGGGTTCCTTGTCCATATGTTTGTATGTGCGTATGCGGGTGTGTGTGTTTGCTTTGCTATGTGCATGTGGTCTACACACGCCTGCTATTCCCGTGTACTGGATCATACTCCTGCGTGATTTCAAAAAGACGGCCCTCAAGTCTCGACCTGAATGCATGCTGTGGCTCTATGAGCGTGAACAGCGAGCGTATCGTAGAGATATCACGCATCGTCCGTGTATTCTTCACCGTCGCCTCTGGTATGTCCGCACGAAGCTGCTGGACCTCGAATGGTGCATGCTTAAACCAACGGTGCGGAAATCCACGCCAAGTTGCCCGCTCTAGAGGCTTGCGATACCTGTGAACCCCATCGGAGCGATGGTCACTGTACACCTTTCCCGCCGATTCGATCATTCTGTCCATAACCGGTTTGGAGAGAAGCAGTAGCAGTTTTTCACCGAACTGAAGAAACAGTTGGGTTGCCTCTTCATACTCCTCGTTTGTCCTGTAGCAGTTCTTCCGGTGCAAACTCTTCATGCCACTGCCATGGAGCAGACGACGCTTGTGCTCAGGCACCGTTTCACGAAAGCGTCGGGCGGAGCGCTTCTCGAAGAGGGCCTTCGTTTCGTCAGGGTCCACCTTCCGCAGGTAGTTCACCATGGCAAAGCAGAGGTCGTGTATCTCTTGTGAGGCGGCCTCAAGCTCGTCAAAATCGCCCGCAAACGTGTCATCCTCGAAGGCTGGCGAAGTCCCCAATGCCACACCGTCACCGGCCCCAGCCGAATCTCTCGCGGAGACATCAGTCGCGACAATACCCTGCTGCGCAGCAGAGCGGTGCGGCGTTCGCACCACGCCAAATTGCAACAGGCAGACGCCAACCAGCGACGCATGCCCGCAGCCAAGCCTAAGTGCCCTCATGGACCTTGTGAAGTTGTAATCTCTTCAGGAGAAACATAGAAAAGTGATCATTTTGAGTATAACACCTATCCACTTCTCCAGTACTCTTTGTTGACTTTTTTTTTTTGTGGTGGTGGACTTTTTCCTCCTTCTTCCCCTCCCCATTCACGCACCCCTTCTCCAAAAACCTGTTCACCACCAACATCAATCAACCCCTTCAGTCTTTATTTTCGTTTATGCTTGGCCACGCCCCATCATAGCCTGGCCGAGCAGACGGCAACAGCAAACGTGTAATAACTCTGCCTTCTTGTACGTAGGCAGCCACATCCACGAAGCGAGTCTCGGGCCCCTTCTTAAGCTCGTTCACCGCAGCGGCAGCCAGAGACGACAAGACACCCTGATTTGCGTCATATTCCATCGAAATGTTGGCTCCTCGACTGTTTGGTGTGAATAGGCACCGTATCCGCTTTCCATCACCCGCCTTAACGGCCAAAAACTCCAGCTCCTGGACGGTGCCACACTCCACCCAAAAGCAGGGGGAGGCGCCAGGCGAGTGAAGGTACAGCGGGGTGAGCAACCGCATTAAGGACAGCGGTTCCTCCACGGCATCAAACGGCTTCGGCATCAGCTCACTGTTTCTGAAACGGAAGACGGCGATATTCGGAGAAGGAATCAAAGATGTTTGCAGGGCGTTAAAAAATGGCAGCGCCCTGTTTCGAAACTCAGATCCCCACAATTTAGAGGCGTTGACAAAGCCAAACCGGCGGAAGGCATGGACACGAAGCTTGTGCCGAAGGCGATGCACGGCCCTTTGAGAGGCATTGTGAGTGTGTTGCAACGAATCCGGCACGCCCAGCAAGCCTGCAAGCGCATCGCACGCCGCAATAAGATTGGAAAAGTAGAAGGATGAATCCAACCCCACCCCTGGCATCCAGACCCCACTGTAGCTTGTGAAAAGCGGTTTTGGAGCCGCAGCACTTGCAGCACGTGGAGCGGCGCAACTCTCACCGCAGAGCACGCGATTCATCGCGATATGATCGACAAGGCCCACATCTCCGCGGGAGTACTCGCCATCGCTATGATGCTGCTGCTGCTTTTCAGCAGTGGAGTGTTGCTGTAAAACAGAAGATTCGTATGCACTCATGTATCCGTCAATAGAGGGAACTACAAGTAGTGCGGCGTAGATGGCATCGTCTCTTGCTTTCGGTGTGGGTGCCAATAGACAGAGTGTCACAACGATCGGAAACCACTTCAGTATCCTCTCCGCATCATCTAGGCCTCCATGAAGAAGCTTGTGCACAGCAGCTGTCAACGCACGGAAGGTTGAATGAGGGAGTGGACCCAACTGTTTGCCCTCAACAGCGTCCAGTGAGTCTCCCACGAGTTGTTGATAAGCCTGCATACTCTCGTCAGGCACCGTCATGGAATGAATCGCTGCACCAATCGCACGCTTACGCGTGTCATTAACACCACCAAGTTCCTCAGGTAGCTTCGATGCCAACAGGCAGCCAAGCGAACGGCAGAGAATAGGGTAACTTGTCATGCCTTCATTCACCTCTTTTGCTGACTCGATGTAATTGTTTAAAGACACAAGTAGAGATTCGCTCTTCGCCTCTGTGGGATTCTTTAGAAGAGAGAGGGACAAATGGTGTATTCCAGCGATACCGCCTTCGTCGCAAGGCAAACTCTTATCCACACCCCTGGCGTGTCGTAGCACATTGGCATTTATCCGTTCGATTGACAGCTCTTCAGAATCGCCGAACACACTATCCTGACGGTTGCTGAAAGTCATTGTGTTCAACTGGGCATTAATGCTGCGATCCTTCAGCGACCACAGGGCACCTGACGAGACACGCCACCGCTCCTCGAATGCGGCAATGACAGCAGCGTAGTGGTGAAACTCAAACTTGTCCAGAAACCATCCAATACACGGCCTCCCATCAGGCATTAGCAAAACGTCACATATTGTGGTCGTTGTATCATCTGCCGAAGCTCCGACTGTGTGATGGCACGCCATTCTTCCTTCACTCAGGCGATCCATCGCTCTCTGCGCCGACGGCGTTGTACCCATACCCACGCCGTAGCGAATGTGCTCCACGCACTGCACGAAAAAGTCCCTCTCTCCATCGCTGAGGCAACTCACATTGGCCCAAAAAGAGGGGAACACCTTGGATGGTGCCCCTCTCTCCTGGAGCTTCTCTTCCGGCCACCCATCGGCGAAGCGAACGAGGCAAGGGCACATTGCGGATCGCCATTCCGCAACAGCAGCAACGTGCCATTTACGCCATAGCGGCATGGGCCCGTGTCGACCTCCGCAGCCCTTCTAATACCGGATAAGGAAACAAGAGCATAAGAAGTGAAATATGGCACCACGCAAATGTATTGGAACAGTACTCGGTTCACTAAGAAAGGCGAACGTTAAAACGCCGAATGAAAAAAAGGGAAACAAAGAATAGAAGAGCTTAGACGAAGCGTTACTCTTCCTTAAGAATTCTGCTGCTGTTGCTGCTTTGCAGGTCCAATGGGACGGATGCTTGAAAACAACCGTACATCATTGTCGGTCACCTTCTTCCGCGCCTCCTGGTGGCGTTTGATGATATCTGACAAGGTGCCAATCAGCAACTTCTTCACCTCGCCCGTCATGACGCGCCCAAGCATGTAGTCCTTCCGTATCTGCGCCAGGGCCTCATCATCCTCGAGAAAGAAGTTTAACCACTGAATGGGGATGTCAACGTCGGTGTTGGCGCCAAGAACAAACTGTTCCTCCTTCGTCGCACCACCGCCACTGAAAGCGTGTTTGTTGATCTTCTCCTTCACCATCTTTTCTGTGTCCGTGAGCTGCACTGCGGCCCCTGTGGAGGAGCTCATCTTCCCCTTGGATCCGCTGAGGCCGGGGAAGAACTTTGAGTGAATCACCGCCGGCTTCAAGTAACCCAGGCGTGAGGCAATATCACGCGTCAGGCGGAAGTAGGGGTCCTGGTCGATGGCCTGTGGAACCAGGCAGAACACATTGCCCATTGACGGCGGAAATATGTGCGGGAATGCGGCAGAAAAGGACGGTGCCGCCTGAATCGCAGGGAACATCCAACGCCCACAGTTGTCCTCCATCTTGAAGCCGAAGCAACCGCGCACTTGACTCGCCGTGAAGGTCCGCTCGATTTGTGCCACTGTTCGATACATGTGCCCCATGTAGTCAAAATTACGGAAGATAAAAGTTAGCTCCGGGTCGAAGCCCATGGCGATGATATCTTTGATGTTCTCCGTCGTCATGGTCTCGATCTGTTCGATGGTTATGTTTCGAAAGTAAAACTTTTCATCATCTGTCATCTGGATCACGAGAGGTACTTTAAACGCCTCCTGCAGCCATTTGGTGAACATGAATGGAATCAGATGTCCCAGGTGCATGGAGTCACTACTAGGACCTCGCCCGGTATAAAGATAGAACGGCTGGCCAGACTCGTACACGTCCAGCAGAAGGTTCAAATCGCGGTGGGAGAAGAAGATGCCGCGGCGCAGGAAGTGATGCGGCTTCTTTCCAATGACCCGCTCCAATCGGTCAAGCAGTGCTTCGTCGATCGGATGGCTCCCAAACTCCTTGATAAGCTTGTCGTAGTCCACATCCCCCTCCACTGTCCAAGGGGTGACGACCGCAGCTGCCATTCCGTATTGTTTACTGTTCTTCCTTCCATTGAGGCCGTTGGCAACCCAAAGTTGTGCAATAGGGGAGACCATAGAGGGAGAGAGAGAGAGGGAGAGAGAAAAGCAGAGCTCGTCTTCTTTTTTATGCGCATGTGTGCACCAATGTGTTTCTGTGTGTGTGTGTGTGTGTNAGAGAGGGAGAGAGAAAAGCAGAGCTCGTCTTCTTTTTTATGCGCATGTGTGCACCAATGTGTTTCTGTGTGTGTGTGTGTGTGTGTGTGTAGTCAGGGCAATTATGAGTTGTTTGTTGTCCTCATTCCACGCAGCGCCACTATGCGCCATAACATCTCGCAACGGATCTCAAGGAAGTATGACTCAACTAAGAAGCACCACAAGAAACACTATAAATGCTAAAACAAGAACGAACCAAAGCATCATCTTGTCACGTGTCGAAGTTTCACGGTACTGTTGTGCCTGGCGCAAATTGCTAGTCGCATTTCTTGTCGCTCGCTCAGCGATGCCGACGTTCTCCTCAACAAGGTCCAGCGCCTCCCCTTGTTCATTCACCATTAAGTGAATGTGATTGAATATCTCGTTTATGTCCTTTACGTTGTCGGCGATCTCAGTGGTCTCGCGCTGGCGCTCCTCCATTATCTCGTCGTGTAGGTCACGTTCAAACGCCTCCTTCTGTGTGAGCCCGCCGTTGCGGGCCCCTTGAAGCAAATCAGTATTTTCGTCTGCGTCATCCACGTCGCTGGCGGCGGAGGCGGCGGGTCCTCCTCCCCCAATCCGCACGCCGGTAGTCGCCCCGCCGCGGCGCAGCGACTCCTCAACGCTGATGCATCTCTTGTAGAACGCGTCACATGACTTCTGGTAGTTCTCGAGTGCCATTTGAGCCTCCGTTGTGAGTTTCACGCCTTGGCCCCGCAGTTGCGCAGGGTTCAATCGCATATATTTTTCCATGAGTGCCAGAGCATCTTGAATGGCGTGCACCTCCTTGGCGTTCGTGCTGCTCGTGACACGCTTGACCTTCTCTCGCTCCTTTGCTATATCGCGCAACGTGATAAGTTTGTTGGTACTTCGGCGTATCTGTGAGGTGCCACGCTCCAACGCCTGCAGCGCGTTGACCAGAAGATCGCAGTTACGCCCCCAGCTAGGGTCCTCCATTGCCTCCTTTCCCTTTTCCCCACCACCAGAAGCAGTAAAGGGCAGCCACAAACAACAAGAAGACAAAAGAATAAGAGGGAGCGCTGACATAAGCAAAGCCGGAAAGATAGAAATGCACACGAGGCCAGAAGTCTAAGCATCGTCTTCCCCCCGGTCTTCCTTCTTTTTCCGGCCATCCTGTTGCCTGCGGTCGCATGGAGGGGGAACAGTGCATCAAGCACGTAGCGTGTTCACCCGGTAAAACGAAAAGGAGCCGCCGGTGTCAATGAAGACAAGAAAAACGTCCACACAGTTCCTCCTCCGAAGCTCATCCACCACGCCCTCGACGGACCGCAGGGTCTTCGACGTGAATTCGTCGTGTTCGACCACGGGGCACATCACGAAGGCCTTCGCACCGCCCGTGTAGCTGCTGCACACCACGCGCCACCCGCAGACCTCCGCGATCTCCGACGTGTACAGCGGCAGCCGGTCACGAATTTCGTCCAACAGAAGAGCGCATGTCTGTGCGTCGTCCGGCATCCAAGTGTGGCTTCCTTCCGCGTTGAGGAATAAGGAAGAGGGGGCGCGCACCGAATTCAGATGAATGATTTGAGCACTTCGCCTTGTTCAATTTCAGACGGTCAATGCACCGATGACATGAAAAGCATGTTCGTTTCTGATGCTCTTCTATCCCTCTCTCTCTCTCTCTCTGTATATATATATATATATATATATATATATACAACTTCCTCTTCAGGCCTTTCCTTGCTTCACCTTCGTTATATCACTCTATTTTTGTTCCCTTGCATAATGCACACATTGGGGGAGCCGAACAGCCGCCTCTCACTTCATTTGGGAGAGTTGCTCGATACGTTTGTGGTACGCGTCAAGGTACAGCTTCGCGATGTCCTCAATGGGCTCGCGGATGCCAACACCGCGCAATGTTGAGCACTTGTAGAACTTCATTTGGTTCGCACTAGCAAGATCCTTCCCCTGGCGATCCGTCACCTCCGCCTTGTCCGCGAGGTCCGTCTTGTTGGCAACAAGGAAGCCGATCATGCCCTTGTTCGCTAGTTTCAACACATTCAGCCACCGCGTGCACGCCTCGAACGTAACCTTGTTGGACGTGTCATACATGAGGATGAAGGCCGCGGCATGCTCCAAATAAGTGGGCACCATTGCTTCATACTCCTTCTGGCCAGCAACGTCATAGATGAGCATCTCCACAGTGCTTTCGTCGTCCACTGGCACCTCCTTCACGACAAAATCACACCCCATCGTCATTAAGTAATTCTTAGGGAAGTTCACGCCATTGCTGTGTATCATCTGCACAAATGAAGACTTACCGACAGTAGGCGCACCAACGACGGCTAGCTGAAGACGCAGGTATACCATTTGCCGAATACAACCTGTTGGACGAGAGAAGAGACGAAAAAATATGTTAATCAGCGCAGTATACAAGACAGATGCAACCACAAAAAAAGAACACACACACACACACACGGAAAAAAAAAACTGCCCGACATGAGACCAGCTCAGTTGCTCCCTGTACAAGCATGTGTGCGGGTGTTCAGAGAGAGGCTTCGACCTCACAGGGAAAAACCAAATAGGGATCGCACGGCGTCATTGTTGTCGTTTCTGCCGTGACCGCGACTCGCCCGCACAGCAGCACGCTCTAAATCTGTCGTTTGAATGAGTGAAGACGGAAGCCGCCAAAGACGCACGCAGCCGCGCATGTCACCGGTGGCAATCCAATCAGGCGATATATGGTTGAATGCCACGCAAAGCACCGGGGCTCCGTCAACCCCCGCCTCTAGCGATGCGATGGGCTTCAGTTGCGTTTTTTGAAGGTCATAAATGTGCAGAAATGAGCTACGCGACACCAATGCAACTACACTCGGGCGGAAAGGACTGAAACATGCTGCGTAAATGAAGTGCTTGGTCTCCGCTGAGGGCTCCAGCGTCGCTAACGGGGCACGCTCCAGAAGATTGTACAGGTGAGCTCCACCATCTGAGGAGCAGGTAAGGCACAAGTTGGAGAAGAACGGAGACGCGTCAACGCTCTGCACCGGCCCCCTGTGGCCGTCAAGCCAATCCACGTCGAGCGACGCAATCGTCTCCGTGTTGCGCGGCGCCAACACACTCATCACACCAGGACGTGCTCGGCCAACGTCTCCGTTTTCGAGCCCGATAATCAGCACGCTGTCGCCCGACGGCGCACTCGCCCCACCACTGCCGCCGGACCTCGCGAAGCTGGCGGCCTGAACACCAGCGGGGGCGCCCTTCTTATCCTCCACCGAGAAGATGGCGACAGGCTGCGCCAGTTTGTTCGTTTGCGTCCAGAAGAGTACCCGTCCGTCCTGTGCGGCGGAGCAGAGAATGAAGCGGTGGGATTCTCGCGTCTCCTGCAGACTCTGCGTCCACTGAAGGGACGTGACGGGCTCTCTATGCGACACCGGCGCACCGTCCGAGGAGACCACCATCGGGGTGTCGTCTGTCACCTTGGAGTACACAATCACTTCACCGCTGTACAAGCCAACCGCAAGGACAGCCGCGTGCGTGGGGTGAAACGCCACACAGGTAGCAAATGAGTCTGTCTCGAAGGTATGGTGCGGGGCATTCATGTCTAGATCATGGCGCGACATGTTCCAGATGCCCACCACTCCGGAATTGTGACACCACCCCGCCGTGTCGATGCGGCCGTAAGCGACTGCAAGGAGTGTGCCGTTGGCGTTCCAACTTACGGCCAGTGCGTGCAATTCGCCCTCCACCGCATACGCGGAGCTTAACGTGGCAACAGGTACGATATTTGTGCTCTTCCGCGACCAGTTAGGTTCATAGTTGTCGAAGGCACTGCTCTTTGTGTTGCGGTACAGCATCGATAGTACGTCATCCTTCGCCCCCTCCAAGAAGGCGGCCAATTTTCCCTCGTCAAATGTCACCCCACTGTACACGTACTGGAGACCGTCGAGGGTGGCCTGGATCTGCTTCTTCTCGTGGCCCACCTGCTTGTCGAAGCGGTTTACCACCTGTAGCGCGCTGATGATTGTCTGCGTCTCCGCCTCGCGTGTGCGGAGGTCGCTGGTCTGGCATGCGACGGTCTCGCGTGTGGTCTCCTTGTGCCACGACGACGGGATGCATACCTCACCGGTGATCTGATTCTTGAAGCTGCACGGAGTCGACATTTACCCCTGTACTTCTTTTCTTTTTTCCTCTATACACTTTTTTTTCTCGTTTTTCTTTTTGTTCCTTCAGCCTGCGCGGCGAGCTCAACCGTAATCAGCAATAACAAGAAGACGGGAACAGGGATGCACACACACACAGCGGCACACAGAGAGGCACAGAGACAGAGGCACACACACACACACACGCAGCATACAGAAACAAGAGAAAAGGGAGCACACATTGTCGCCTCCATTCATTAACCAGCAGACACTGCACATGGGCCGAGAATGCACCATGTGAAAGATCTTTGCAAATATCGTCTAGAAAATTAGGTCCACTATTACTAAGATGAAGCAAACGGCGAATCACCCATCTGCTCTTTCAGAGAGGGGAGGGAACAGCATATTCAACCCTGATTGGTTGGTCAGGGATCGTACCGAAGCACAGCAATACCAACAATCACACGACGTAAAAGGTATTACGCAAACAAACATAAAACAAAACACAGAAAAAAAACGTTGTACAAGCACCAGAAAACCCAGCGTACATTTTTATGTTCGTCTCTCCGTCACATTTTTTTTTCTTTCTTTTTTTTTTGTCTAGTATTTTATCTATTCGTTATCAACGTCGTCGTACGGCGCATCCACAAGGGCGATGAGAAGGCACTCGATGTCAGTCACAGCCTTCAGGACAAGCGCGTACTCGTCCGGATGCTTCGCCGGCGCATCGAGTTTCTCACACACCAGCAGCTTCCCCCGCGCCAGCGCACTCAGTGCCTTCACAGTGCCAATAACATCTGTGTGGGTGGTCATGGTGGAAATCACCTCCTTCACGTATGCGCCCGGTGGCGTGACCCCCATTGGCGAAAGTGCCTCCCGCAAGACGATGATGAGCGCGTCGTTCTCTGGCGCCAGCTTGATGCTGTCCATGCTGTTGTTGAGCGTTTCCTTCGCCGTCTCAAATGGATCGAGGAGCATCGTGTTCATATTGCTCACGTCAATGGCGCTCGTCGTGGAAGGGAACGCGCGATCCAGTTCGTATCTATTGACAAACATGCGTTGGCTCATCAAGTCAATCGATTTCTTTCCGGTCGTCTCCGCTTTGGCGCGGATGTACATGACATTCTCGAATTTTCTTAGGTGCATGGTCTTGTCAAAGCCTTCCGGTGGCACGGGCCCACCCTTCGCAAAGCTCGCAAGCACCTCGCAGACAGTGACCCAGCAGTGGTTCGGTGCCTGGTGCAACGCAGCAACGCGCTTCTTCCTCGACGACGGCTCCGGGAGCGCCGGGAGTGTCTCCGTCAACTCGTCTGTCACAACGACGAGGCTTGTGTCCTCGAAGAGTGAGGCGACAAACGCCTTGCTGTAGTCCTTGAACTCCTTCAGCGTGGTGCCAGGTTGCATCTTGTACACACGCTTGATGGCGCGCCCTCCTGGGAGCCCACGTGGCCGCTCGCCTAGCATCGTGTCCTCCTCCTGCAGCTCGCGCCGCGTCTTTTGTGGCTCCAGCCGCTCCATTCGGGCCCAGAGCAAAAAGTAACGGTGATTGCTTCGCTTGCCGTGCTGTGCAATAGCTGTGCACCACGTCCCCATCGCTGTGTGTACTGCCGCCGCTCCCTTGAAGTCGCCAATCGCACGAAGGTACTTGTCCACAATAGAAATGGCGCCAAGAGAAAACTCGTAGTAGTTGTCCTTGTCGAGATGTTCGGCGGCCTCCTTTAGTGTCTTGACTTGCCCTTCCACGGTGAAACACGGCTCATCTGGGCAGACGTAAAGCTCCGATACAATGGCGTGCACAGTATCCACGGGCAACAGAACATCCACCTCAGGAAGCACACGCACGTAGTCGTGCCAGAACACATACGTCAGCAGACCAAAGGGCATACGCGCCCCACGTGAATCCTTACCCTTGAGAAAGTAGAACAACTCCGTCACGCGGAAGCACAACGCCCCAATGAAGAATAGCACCATCCCAGCCTCTGCCATGTTGCCATTTGTCTTGTGGGTATCGTGGAGGCGGTGGAGCCATTTCAACACCTCGCGCAGCGCGTTTTGCCGAAGGAAATTTCGTACCACCTCGAAGCACGCGAACACCTTCGCCTCTTTGAACTGCATCGAGGTATCAACCTGAAGACGCAGAACATCACGTAAGAGACTGAGTGCTGACTCCGACATGGCTGCAAACTCCTCGGAGAAGCGTGGTGGCTTGGCTTCATTGCCATCCACACCACCCATGACGCTTGTCCTCTTCTTATTACTCTCTTTACCCTCACCCTCTAAGAGGTAATGCGATACCGAAATACGCCGCTGCACCGAGAGAAACTGCGGCTCGACGCGGTAGCGGTATTGCACGCCGGCGTCACCACCTGTTTGGTGGGCGTCGCTCTCGTAACGGGAGAAGTACGACGGCGACGGGGGTACAAAATGCTCCTCCTCGCATCGCACCTTTTCAAAGAGGTCGTCGAACTGAAACTCAATGAAGCGACCTGCGAGACGAAGATTTCGTGCCTTCGACTCTGCCACGGAGACTAACGCATTTGCCGTCAGGGACTTCATCCGTGCGAGGGACTTGGTCCACGTGAAGTAGGACTGGCTCATTAGCAGAAACGCCCGTCCTGCGATAGACCGCACGTGCTGACAGCAGCTGCTCATCAGGCGGAACGTCAGAAGCACCATGCCGTTGCCCATCCGTGCCGTCCGGCTGATAATCTCCGGAAAGAGCGAGCATATCACCTCGAAAAAGGCACCTGAGCCAATCTGAAGGGCAATGGTAGAGTTACCGAGATGCACTAAGCTCTCCAGCATAACGAAAAAGGGAAAAACCGCAACATTTGCCTTCTCCTTTCGCACGGTCTGCAAAACATGTGGGATATCCTCGAGTAAAATGCTGCAGATCCGCGAACCGATGGCCGACGCGAAGGTCGACATACGCGCATCCCACTCCCTTAGTTCGGTGTCTTGGGACTTCCTTACTCGCGGGTCTACCTTGTCCGCACCTGCGCTATAGCGTAGAAGAGACTGCGTGTCCGCCACAAGACTCATAAAGCCGGCGAGTGCCTTGTCGTTGTCCTCATTCAGAAGCCATTGGCGTATCACCTCACGCGGACAATAGTACACGATCCACATCATAGATACAACGAGCTGGCGCTTGTCATTTAAAGCAACAGGAGCGTCCAGCTTTTCATGAAACTGCACATACGTCTTCCACTGTAATGAGACAAAGCGTAACAATACGAGGAGCTGGGAGGCCAGCCACCTTAGGCTTGAAGCAGGAATACGTGGGCTGTTTGCAAGGCTGCAGAGAAATACGTACAGCACAGATACCGCTCCAGCTCGTGTGTCACGATCCCTGTGCACCACCAGGTGTGAAAGTGCATCGACGAATATGCTTGTCAAAAACACCGGCTTCGCGTGGGCGGAAGATGGCAGCATCAAGGTGATAGCGTCTGGATCCTCCAAGGTAACCCTCAGAAACGCACACAAACTTTCCATGTCCCCACGTTCTTCAAGGAACTTTACAACACATTGGTATATGTGAAGCATTTGGCCGCGGTCACAGTAATTTCCAAGATTGCGTACAAAAAGAGCAACCCGATGCACCAAGACGCCACTGCTGGCAAAACCGCCAAGGACGTCTAGAACCTCCGTGCATAGTTTGCCCAGAAGGGTATAGAGGCTTGGGTCAAATAGCTGCGCGCGAGACACTCTAGGGTTTTCCAAGGCCCAGAGGTAAACAGACCGCAAAATCACATCAAACAAAAACCCAGATAAATCCGCCATCTGTTTTTTAATGCTACGTTGCTGTTTTCCCCCCTTCGAGTTATCCGCGGCCGTATCTGGCGGCCTTGTAGCCGGATCATTTCTTGCAATTGCAAGCAGCTTCAGCCATGCCTCCGCCACACCGGCATACAGACGATAACGTTGGCCGTTGTACAGCACGTTATTTGTCAGGTGGTGATACAAGATCATCGTCACAGAAGTCTTTGTCTGCATCGGCGTTGTCTGCGGCCCCTGACGCCGTCTTGATGAGCGCGCTGTCATATCGTATTGCTGAACTTTGAACATCATATCCACAAGCACATCCAACGCGGCCGTGCGACAATCCAAGCTCACCTTCTTTGACGGTGAGCTGACGAGCGCAAGGCTGAAGGAGGAAAGAAACGGATAAAAGGCGAGGATTTCAGCGAGCGGCAGCTGTCGCATCAAAGCAATCACTTTGTTCTGGATATCATCATCAGCTTTGCTTTCAGCGGCGCCCAGCTTTCCTGAGGATGCGAGCACATCGTCGTTCTGTGAGACGACTTTCAACGTAACTGGTGCAATTCTGAGCACGGTGGCGACAATCCTGTTTGAGGCATGGACAGACGTGCGCGTCTGTGTGGCCGCATGCAGAACAGGGAGACCGTTATTGAGGAGAGCAGCCGACGGAGCCTCTGGAAACTTGGAAAGATATCCACCAGCGGCAATCACCACCGCCTGATCAACGGAAACGAAATTGATGCCCCAACCCTGTTTTACCTGCAGAACACCGTTGCGGGAGATGGGGAATGCGGCGTACCCGACCTTGTAGAGTCTCTGCTGGCCCGCTGTCGGGGGATTTTTCTTCTGGTACGAGGCATAAAGCGTGATGAATATGTGCAGTTTGTCCGTCAGGTAAAGGGGAAGTTGTATCTTGATCTCATCACTCAGCTCGAAATCAGAACAGTTGTGGACCGTCGAACTCCACGCAGAGGTTTCAAGCGTCTGACCAGATAATCGGCGACCATATATCACTGGTAGTCCCTCCTCACCCAATGAAACGTCCTGGTCCTTCACGCATATCTGCATCACATAAGTGCGGTGCGTGTTCGGCACCTTGCGAAGAACGCCCGTGTTCAAAACCTTCACCTTACTCAGCTGAAAGTAGTACACGTTGTGGTAAGCATGGAAGAAACCGGAGTTAAGAATCGGGATGGCACAGGGAACATACCTGTATGTCTCAGCTCGCGCCCCCGGCACGTCGGGGTTGAGCAGACTCACAGCTGTCTCGTTCTCCTCTGGGTGGGGAGCGGCGTGCTCTGATGGGAACGCTACCTCATGCGTCGTGCAGTCTGAGAGGGCGAAGGTCACCTCGAAGGGGACACTCCGCAGTGCGTTCCTCGAGCGCTCATCATCCAATAAAGCGTAGAGGTGGGCGTCATCGACAGCTTTCCGATACAACTTCTTCAGTTCAAGAGTTTCAGGAAGCTTGCCTCCTTCACAGCACCGAACGATGCCCCATCCCAGCTCTTCAAGTGTGTCCGACGTCATCGCAAGCAACTGTGTCTCCTGCTTCATCGGCACAATGTGCTGATTTTTGTATCGGTCCGGCCTCGTGTAGAGGTCAACATAGTTGTCGTAGTCTTCACTGGCGGGGCGGTACACACGTACTGCAAGGTGGAGCGAACTAAGAAACTCATGCGGTATAAAGGTTACGACCCGATTCTCCCGGTTCAGTGGCTTGCGCTCCTTGTGTGGATAGAATATATCAACTGCAGAGTCGAAGAAGAATGTTTCAGATACTTTAGCTTTGCTGCTGGACGTTATACTGTAGAATGTTGCAGCCACAACGACCGGATCGACGTCACTACCGTGAATATCTACCATAGGGCCGCCGATCTTTTTGCACTCGACCCGCAATGGGACACCACCAGAGAACACCTTCACAGCAGCGGTCGGTTTTTTCGTCTCAATTTCGCTGGCCCAGATGCTGTTCGCTGTTGGGCCACACGTGTAGGTTGTCCGCTGTTTCTTATCCCCTCCAGTGTTGAGAAGGTCAAACGAGCGGTCGCAGGCATGTTCCCAGACTTGAATAGGATCTCCAAATGAGATCCTTGACAGGGCCCGGTTCACTACCTCATTCGTCTCTTTGACGGAAAGTTCCTCCTCCGCTATAAGGCACTCAGACCGCGCGTTGTGTGGCAGGTCCTCGTCGTCAAACGTCACGGAGGGATCCTGTGCCAACTCGTTCTCAAAGAAACAGTGCATCGTGCTCAACAGACGACGACCGGGTTCACCGTGCCGTTCACGCTCCGCCACCCGTCTTTGGTGCGGCACTGTGCTGGTGATGATCACCTGCTTGGAGCGGAAGAAGCCCAGCTGTATGCTCGCGGCGGAGAGGTCTCCCTCACGCTCCTCTGCCGGCGGGTACAGACAGCGGCCGGGCTCGCGCATCGTCTCGTACTGGTGACACTCAATGCGTCGGCACCGCACATCCGCTTCGGCAAGACCCAAACGCTGGAGCTCTCGCGACTCGTACGCCTCAAAGTCCTCATGAGGGGGGGGCTCGACAAACATAGAATCCGGCAACTCATCCGCCCCACCACTGAGGATGCCGTTGTCGTTTTGGGTGTTCAACGCCACACTGATAGAGACACGACTCGCATCCGACAGGGTCTCGTACTCGTCGGCACTAGTGGTGACCCTATTGTCATCGCCATCCGACGACTCAGTGGAGCGCCGAGCAACACCTTCGGGTAGCATGTTTTCGTCACCGCTCCCGTCAGCACCCTCTTCACCCGATGAAGCATCAACATTAGCTACATGACGCTGAATCGTACCTCTTTCTGACTGCAGGCCCACGTCTTCCCGTGTCCCTTTCACAGCCGTGTCATCTACAACTTGCAACGAATGGATTCGTGGAGCGCTAATCTTTTCATTAATACCTTCCGGCGGGGCACGCTCATCCACCACACGCTGATGCTCTTCCGTCTCCTTCCGGGCACGCTCTTCAGCCTCACACTGTCGCTGCACAGCCTCACGTCGGGTACGCTCTGCAGCCTCCTCCCGGGCACGCTCTTCAGCCTCCTGCCGGGCACGCTCTTCAGCCTCCTTCCGGGCACGCTCTTCAGCTTCCTTCCGGGCACGCTCTTCAGCCTCCTGCCGGGCACGCTCTTCAGCCTCCTTCCGGGCACGCTCTTCAGCCTCCTTCCGGGTACGCTCTGCAGCCTCCTTTCGAGCACGCTCTTCAGCCTCCTGCCGGGCAACTTCTTCAGCATCACGCTGGTCTTGTATATTCTTTAGATTTACCATATCACCGTTCTTTCGAATAGTGGCATCGCCCACAAGAGCACTTAAAGAGTCGTCTTTTGGTGTGTTACCAAAAGAGGTTGCCACCTCGCGCATAGCCCGCGTCTGCTGCTTCTCTCTTAGCCTTCTCTCAATGTCCTTCTGAATAGCGTCCTCCTCCCTCTGAGCGAGGCGCTCATCCATGGGGGAAATCTCAAACGGAGGAGGCAATGTGGTTTTTATCCTGCAAGAACCTTCACGACTAGCCTTATTTTTCTCAATTTCATTCTCCATTTCCATCATAAGGAGTTTCTCGATTCCGTCTGTCGAGTCCATTACCTCACTCTTCGGTTAACGAGTGAAAGCAACTATTGTGCTACTATCTGTGTTCTACCAAACTGTGGGGTGGGAAATGAGACAAGAAACAGAACTCCACTGGTCCCTTGGAAAACGCGCATGGTTGCTTCCCACAGTCGACGGCGTCCGGGAGATCATAGATCCATCATGAGTACACCAGGGAAAAGCGAAAGGGAAATCGAAGGTGGAAAAAGGTAAGGACACGACACTATCCTTCTACTGTGTCTTTTTCTTTTTTGTTAATTCTTTGTCTTTCACGTGGTGCTTCAACTTGTTTTAAACTGAAAAAGCACCACAAACGATACACTTCGTTTTCGCTTGCACGGGCTGACTGACTCATTGCAAACGGTGATAGTAAGATCCCTCCTCGTCAAGCTGCTCCATGTGAGGCAGCGCGGGGAGATCTAATGAGGTGAGGGACGAGTGCCCCACGTAAGACCCGGTTCGTCCAGGAGGAAGTTTGTACGGTGCGCCCATACCCCGTGGGCCGCCCGAGGTCTGCTTGCGATGCAGAAAGAGACACAAGAAAACCGCGACAAGAATCGCCACAGTTGTGAGGCTGAATATGATAATGGCGGATCTATCAGCTTCGCCTGCCATTTTCCTGACGCCGGTCTGGTTGTTGCTTAAAAAAGGCGGTGGCACTGTCCAGTGAGGCGAGGCCTGGGATACAATGCTGAACGTTGTTGGTATGTTCATGCCAGATATCAGCATAAACTGATAGTTTTCCGATTCGTTGTTTCGGACAGCATAGGTCCCGTTGAAGGAGTCGTCGAAACAGAATGGCGACAACAAACAACGAGACCGAACAAGCACCAGCACGGTCAGGGTGTTTCCTCTAAGATACGTATCGGAGGTCACATTCACAACGCATTCTTCATCGGTGCAGTTGGTGTGAAAGAAAAAACCACCGTAGGCATCTACCCTCGTGTTGATGGACCCCCCAGAGGGAAGAAAGACCGACGCGGAACCAGGGCTTGACGAATTGCTTCCCGTTGATACAGTTTGGTTGAGGATGGACTCATTGCATCCCCCCATAAATCCGTCACTGTTCACCTGGTACTCCAGTGGGTGAACATTTTGGAAAACGTCGGGGGGATTCAGTGAAACTGTAATCGTCAAATTGCCCTTGCGTACTGGGATACACAAAAGAACGTAGTACACATTCTGGTAAAGAGAGGCAATCCGCAATGCCATCCGTTCGAAGGACGCTACGAGCGCATCCGTTGACGACACTTCAAAGTACCCGGAAGTGGCGACTTGGCGGAGGAAAGCAATGTCGGACGCATTCGACATGCCGAGGGCCAATGTTGTGACGTTCCTGGCGGCGAAGTACTGCGCCTTCTGGATCGCCTCCTTCTGTGTCACGCGTGCCGCCGTGTCATATCCGTCGGAACAGATCACAAGCGTTGTATACGTATCGCCCCCAAACGTCGACTGCATCTGATAGCTTGCCTCAAGGCCAAAGACGATTGCACCATACAAATTGGTTGACAAGGGGTCCGGCATTAACAACGGCAGGCCGTCAACGGCGCTGGTGAGGAGAGCAATGTCAGTGGTGTGCGGCTGCACCGTGATGGGCACCCTCGACCCGTCAAACACGACGAGGGCGATGTAGTGGTCGGCACTTTGCCCCGCCGTGAGGCTCTGGAGGAGTGCCTTCAGAGCAGCCTTAAGCTCGTCCTCGTACTGCGAGGTCACGTATCGGCTCTGGTGGATCATCAGCGTCGTGATCTGCACGGCCCCGCCCTGCTGCGCCTCGCGCCGCACGTTGTCCACCTCGAAGGAGAGTGGCGGGTCGTCAATGGAGTCGCCGTTTAGACGCACCGATATGTTCTCTGCAAGAAGCCCCTGGACCGGGAATCCGTAGCAGTCTGTCACGCGCACCAACGACAGGTAGTTGGACGGCACCGTCACAGTCTGCGAGAGGGTGCTCAGAACAGGACAGGTAGTGTCTATGCACACGCCGTTAACGCACGATGTCCCAACACAGTCATCCGCCGTCTCGCAGAAGAAGTTGTTTACTTCGCAGCCATCCAGAGAGAAAAAGTTTGCCTCAAACCAGAGAATCCCATCCTCTTCACCACTCGATATATTGCCGCCGTAAAGAACCTCACCAGGGGTACCACTAGTGTTGCATTGCATGTTCACGCGGAACGTAGATGTCCCATTCGCGTTGGCTACAATGAAGTATGTGCTCTGCTGCCCGCTCGCCGTCAGCGGCTGCACCAACACAGAAAAGGACTCCACACACTCGGTCTCGTTAGCGACCTCCACATACCCCGCTCCGGTGCTGCTGCATCTACTGTCTTCTGCCGCCACGGAGCAGAAGTGAAATGTCACATTCGCCACCTCACCAAAGATGTCACTGGTCGTGATGAAGGCCGTCGCATTTCGCAGAGTAATCTTACCTGCTTGACACTCCGGCTGCAACTGCGCCTCTGCCAAGTGGGCCCCCAGCAGGAGGACAAGCAACGCGAGAAGTGGAGTCGCGATCGCCATGAAGAAGCAAACCAAAATAACAATAATAAAAACGGATGAGCCTTCTGCCTTGGCCGCCGCAGTTGGAGGTGCAGGAGGAGAAGAAGTCAGAAAATCAGCAGCAAAGCGAGATATCACAGAGCAGCCAGAGAGGTCAGCGGGGAGGCAGGAGCGGGCGCTAGGAGGCAAGACAGAAACATAGACAGAATCTTGGCTTCAGGGCTCTTTTTTTTTTTCCTACCGAGGGGGGGAAAAAAAGCAGCACAATAAATGCGTCCACGGCAAAGTCTTCACCACCTGCGCTCTCGCATGTGACATCTCTCACGCGAAGATGTCCGCCACTTGGAGGTGACATAGACATAACCCTCTTCTTTTATTCATATATCTTTTCTCTCCCTCTCTCTCTCACACACACACACTTTTCTTTCTTTCTCTCCTTCTTCCTTGTTGTTCACTCACGCTCAGGCCAAATGTCATCTGTATCGATGGTTCTACTATTCCACGTTCGGCTTCTCCTCCACGAGGAAAATACCCTCCACGACGGACGCAACGGGGCGATGCTTCACCGACGCCACCTCAACTTTATCCGTCGCATTCAGCAGCACGGGCGTGCTTTGCGTCTGGAAGCCTGTGATGGATTTGGGCTTTCCAGCCACCGCAACCGTGTCGACGGGGAGTCCCACGCGTACCTGAACGCCGTCCTTAATGGGCGTCATCTCCGCGTCGACGGCGAGGACCATGCGGGGGCGAATGGTGGGGGTGATGGTGAGCAACATGTAGTGGTACTTTCCAAGGATCGTCTCCTCGTAGTGCAGGACGCTGTGCAGAAAAGCGAGAAGTCCCATGAGCGCCGTAGGCGACACCAACGTGCGGTCGTTTAGTAGCGGGGAAAGTGTCAAATGGCCTTTCCCCATCATGAGCAGACCCTGAGCGAGGCGCACGGCGAAGAGCTGAAGCGCAAAGCGGTCCTTGTGATAGTACAAGGCCAGGTTGCGCAACTTACTCGCAACCCTGGCATTGTTGCTCCCCGCCGACACTATTCCCATGGCGAGAATAGCGCTGACTGCGGTGGATACATCGCTATCGTGGGACAAACGGTTTAACGTCTCCACAACTGGCATGCTCGGATTGGAGGCAGAGAGAAGTGCGTACACTAGTGGAATCGCACGTCTGCCCGACAAGTTTGCACCGCCCTTGCTGACGGTGTCAACCAGTAGGGCGTGGATAATGGATCGTTTCGCCATTTCCGACCCAATGTCTTCGCCAATGGCAACCAACCCAATACCGAGAACGGCAGCAGCCTTGTGGTTCATTGGTGTCGTCTTGCTAGACGTCTCTTGATCCTTCTGCTCGTCTTTTTCCTCCTCTACTGGCTCTTCGGCATTGTCGTTCTCGGCGATGGCGTGGAAGAAGTTCTGAATGACCACAACGTTTCCTGTAGCCGCGTAGGCGCAACCCCGCACCACCATCTCCGTGTACCGTCGAATTATGGGTGAGAGGGTCTGCGTGGCATCGAGAAGTGTGTCTGCCGCTTCCTGCTTGCCGAGGAAGAGGGAGCCCAATGAGATAATGAGGTAGCACACAGGTGGCTGCTTTAGTTCCTCCTCCTCAATCTCCATGAGGCAGTTCATCATGGCCTCCGCGATGTCCTCGTCGGTGGAGCCCACAAAAACCAATGCAAGCGCAAAGGCCGCCATACACTGAACATCCAGCGCCTGATCGCTATCGGCAAGCATGGGTATGAGCAGCTCCTTGATGTCATCCCTCTGCGTCCCTGCGTATGCATAACCGAGACCGAGGATGGCGCCGATGCTTACCTCCTTCTGCGGTGCGCCAACAGAGTCCGCGAGAAGGCCCAAGGCAGGATCAAAGGGGTTCGTCACTCCGCACATCGCTACACCAGCCGCGAGACAGGCCCCAGCCTTGATGTTTGCAGCATCCGCGTAGAAGTATTTGTATATCTCTTGTAATCCCTCCGCATGGTCCCAGAGGTGAATGAGCCCCAGCATGGCAGTGGTAGCAACGAGTCGACTCTCCGTCTGCTCGTACGGCCACGATGCACTCTTTTCAGTGAGATAAATATCCTTTCCGAACCCGCAGTTTACCAGTCCGCTGGCAAAAGAGCAGACCAATTTGAACGAACCATCAGTGGAGTTGTTCACTACATTCCCGTCAATGCCAGTCTTGAAGACATCTTCCGGGGCCTTTGGTGTCATCGCGTCCAATTCCTGAGCAACGTAACGATACAGCTGTGCCAGCCGCATATTACCCATGGCGTCACTGATCAGTTCATTCTCCTCATTGTCCAGCTCGACATAGAGCCTATAGCGAGCACAAGTCAGCGCCATCTGCAAACACATCGGTGCGTTGTGGCACTTTTCAAAGAGAGCCTTCACCATGGCGCGGTCCCCCAGCTGCAGCGCCACCGGTAACGCCTCCGTGTAAGACTCCATCTTGACGTAAATATCGTACACCACGCGCAATGCCGCGGTATCCAGGGGGCGCGTTAAGTACTTGCTGACGGCTGCCAAATAGTTTGCAATGCGCCTGTGGTTGTGGCTGTCGGCAAGAGGCAGTATTGCATTCATGTCCTCAACTTCCATAAGAAGATCGACCGCTGTCGGTTCGTCCTGATGTGTCACCATGTAGCTGACAATCTGTTTCACGAATCCGATGAGGTGATTCACGCCCTCCGCCTTGCCAGTGCGCTCCTTCCACTCCGCGCCGATGGAGCCGGCGAGGAAGCGCAGGTACTCATGGCCCCACTGCGCAAGGTCGTCTTGTGTCCCCTGCAGCTTGTGCTCGAGTGAGCCACGTCGTCCATCGGGGAACTCCAACGTCATGGCAATGAAGGAGAGAACGTCGTGGAGACGCACAGCAAGTTTGGTGTCAGTCGTGTCCTTCAGCACTCTCTCAAGCTGCGCATACATTGCCCGCACATACTTGAGCGGTTTTGGAACTGACGCCACGCTGCCGCCCGTGTGTGTCCTTAACAAGTCAATGAGCTGCTCCACTGCTGTAGCAGCCAGCGCCGTGTTGCTGTCGCCAGCGCGTGTGACGAGAAGCTCCACTTGGTTCTTAATGAGTTCGTCCTCTTCGCTCATCTTGAGCGGCTCCGCATCACGAGGCTTCTTCTCATTTTCCTTTTTGCCCTTTGGGTCATCTGAGAGAACATTAATGGGAACAGCCTTCTTGTTCTCCGCCATTGTTACAATCCGTGTATTTCGCCGCTCGTGTGCGTGTGTGGGTCTGTGTCTGTGGTTGCTTACCAATAACAATAATAATACTGAAAAGAATGATTCCTTTCACTGCCAACAGGGCAGAAGTAAATCAAACAGGGAGTGAGAGAAATACAAAGAGCGGAACAACCCATCATTAAAGGCAAGGCGTCCACGCCGCACGCAAGTAGGGAGCAAAAATACACACGAACACACGAGCACACACACTCCCATCCAGACACACAGACACACAAGGAAGAGGAACGTGCTTCTCTGTCCTTCTTCTTCGGTCTTCCCTGCCACGAGCGCGATGAGAGACAAGACGCATCCCACTCCAAAAACGAAAATTTTCCGTCTTCGTGTTGCGTGTACGTGTGTGTCCGTACATGCATACGCACACTGTAAGTTTTACATTCCTTTGGATATTGAGACAGACCGCACCAGCTGGTGGATGGCGGATGAGAAGTACACAAAGTTGCTTTGCGCCGAATGCTCGCTCTGCTTCGGCAACTCCAGGTTCAGCAAGTTCTGGAACTCCTTCATTACCTTCGTGACGTGGCCCCGCTGCGTGCCGACAGACAGCACACCAAGACAGCCGCGCAGCAGAACGTCTATCATATGGAACACAAGGCCCGACCGCCGGTCCCGGTCAAACGAGAGCCCACGTGAGTGGCACAGAGAGAAGAACGTACCGTGCCGTACCGCCGAGAGAAACGGGCTGTGAATGATGCCACTGTACGCGTACGAAAGAGACTCCTGGGTGCCACCGGACGTGCAACTCCCATTCTCGGGGTCCCAGGTGCTATCGGTAATCAAGCAGGCGAAACGGTGTGCGGCGGCGTTATTAGTGAGGCACAGATCCACGTCCACGGCACATAGTCGCAGCGGAGACTCCTCACTCGCGTCGCACAGCACAAAGTCCACTGAGACGTAGCCCATGATGCGCCTGCGGAAGGCAGCCTTTCCCACACTCAGGGCCGCGTCCCGCGCCATAGCATAGGGCACAAACTTCTGCAGAGGATAGTGGCAGCCCATCACAGTGAATGCGGGGGCGAGCATCGGCTCCACAATCGACTGCAAGTTTACCACACCGGTTGGCTCAATAAAGAGGTTAGCCGTAAGTGATGACTTGACTCGGTTCGGCACGGCTTCCACGCATCCACCCACAGCATCGAACATCGTCGCGTAGGCCTCCCAGTCTGGATAACTGTTGGGGTGCACCAAACGTGCCCGTTTCCCCGCGTGCTCCTCTAACTCAGTCAGAACGCCGCGATAATTCTTGCGTGACTCGTCTTCGTCCTTGAGCACGCGAAGACGGTTGACATCAAAATAGGCGTGTCCGCGACTGCACGACTCGGTCTCTAGCTTCACCAGCCAACGGGTGACCTCACGGTGGTCAATGATCAGTGTCGCCAGCGCACGCATCAGCTCGTGTCTGCTGCGCAAGTTGTGCACTCCAATTGGCGTGTCTACCTCAGCCAGATCTAGCAGGCGTTGGCAGCCGCTCTTTGTGCCAAAGGCCTGTGCTGTGGTGGGGTCCGCACTGAGCATCGGGACATTTAGCTCGATTGCGAACGAAAGCTCCTCGGGGCCAATAACACCTGGGACGACATATGCATTCTTGCCTCTACACATCGACGCGAGACACTTCATCAAACGCGAGCTGAGCAGTACAAGCCGCGTGAGGCTGAGGCCCTCCGGCAGCCGCTTCACATCCTCTGGTACCAGCAGTGTCACCCGGCCGCGCGAGTTATGCACGCCAGCATCCTCCAGGAGCGTGTGGTAGTAATCCAGCACCTCCGGTTCCGGCCGGAAGGGCGCTAGGAGAACCACGTCGACATTTGGGTCATGCAGTTCAGCAAGGCGGGTGAGTTGTCCCATCTGCAGCGCAGAGTAAAATGGAACATGTTTGGCGTGAAATCGAGGGTACGACAAGGACGGTAAGTGAATAATCGTGCGACGTCCATCTTGCAGCTGCGGCCACTTCTTAGTGAACTCATCCATTGTCTTCTTCCACCGAAGCACCCGCGTCTCTCTCTGTGCCTTTATAATGTTTTTCGTGAGGCAGTGAGACCTGTAGAGCCCCCACGTGCGCTGAATAACTATGGAGGCCCGTGTGCCCACGAGGAGGTGTCGGTACGCGATACGCTGCAGGTACATGCGCCACGTTGCCTGTATCTTTTGCGCAGCGAGATTGTGACCGTTGACACCGGAGACGTACTGCTGTGACACACTGCTGGTGAGGGGCTCCACCTCCTCACGGTTGGCGAGACACTGCAACATTTCTTCGCGTGAGAGGAGGTCATCGACCTGAAACGTCGCCAATGCGGCGACCTTTCTGCCGTCCACATACGCGAGGTCAATGCCGTAGTTCTGAAGAAACTCTTCAAGTCTTCGTATCACGAGCTCCACATTTCCCCAGCACGCGGCGTAGCGCCGCTTAAATGACGCAAACTCTGGTGTACTCCTGAGCGTGGCACCCTTTCGAATGAGAAACTCGTGCATCGAGTAGACGTCTAGCAACTCAGCGTACGTCCTCGTATCTTCACGCGTGGGCAACTGCCCCTCCTGCCGCGGCCCCTGCGCCTCCGTGAAGAGTGATGGGTTGGTGGTGGACGAGCCGTGCGACTCCCGCCCCTGCGCCGCCTCCCACTCTCTAAGGTCCTTCAGGTTCAACTTGCCGGGGATCTTGTTGAGCTCTGCGACGTCCAGCACCACGCCGTTCATTCGATTGTAAGGCGAAACCTCCGTCATTACTTTAGAGGCCAGCCGCGCCACGTAGGGGTGCACCGGCGCTCTTTTAGCCCTCAGCGGCCCGTCCGTCGTAAGCATCCGCTCGAGGTCCGCATCTGCCGGGAGACCACCCGTCTCCATCAGGCGCGCAATGCTGTTCCCCACGACAGGTTTCCGCGGCACAGCTGCGGGACGGGTGCGGCGCGCCCCCGGGTACTGATGTTGTTGCTGCTGTTGATGCTGCAACTGCGGTAGCAACGTGGATGACTTCATCGGCGCTGCCAACACCACCTGCGGAGCGAGACGATGGCAAGCTGTGCTGCAGCAGCAAAAAAAAACAAACGCAACTAAGTATGAAACGCAACGCACAAAAGCGAGCCGAGGAGGAGAAAGAGAGGAAGCAAGAAGCAGTACATGCAGTTCTCCTTGAGAATATAACCAGCAGTAACACAAAACAAGTAGAGAGAAGGGAAAAAAGTGAACGCTGCCCGAGGCGAACGGTGTTAGTAGTAGTAGTAGTAGTAGTAGTAGTNTAACACAAAACAAGTAGAGAGAAGGGAAAAAAGTGAACGCTGCCCGAGGCGAACGGTGTTAGTAGTAGTAGTAGTAGTAGTAGTAGTAGTAGTAGTAGTAGTAGTAGTAGTAGTAAAAGTAATCGTGGGGATGTTGGTGGTGCTTAAGGCCGTGACGGTCGTCAGCCCATCAGTTNAACACAAAACAAGTAGAGAGAAGGGAAAAAAGTGAACGCTGCCCGAGGCGAACGGTGTTAGTAGTAGTAGTAGTAGTAGTAGTAGTAAAAGTAATCGTGGGGATGTTGGTGGTGCTTAAGGCCGTGACGGTCGTCAGCCCATCAGTTCATCACGAAGGTGAGATTATCTTCCGCCCCCTCCCGCTCCACGATGTCTTCGTTCACAACAACAGGCGCCGTTGGGGCCCCGCCAATGGGGCGCGTCTGCAGCGTCTCCTCCGCGTTAGGATCCTCCATGAGGCCGGCGCGAACCCGCTCGAGTTTGCGGCGCATCACGTCGATGGCGTCGTACAGGATTTGCAGCACCGGCAGCACACCGGTCGACTCCACCGTAAAGGTGAAGTCGTAGTAGCCGCGTTTGCTCTTCTTCTGGCGCACCAACACGAGTGGTTCCGTCAGCTTGTTAAACGGCGGCTCCTTCGACATGCATTCGCGGCAGAAGATGCAGGCGTCCGGGTCGGCAAGGAGCACCTGCGCCGTCCGGTCATCGTAGCGGAAGACCTGCCGCGGGCAGCGCTCCACCCACTGCCGCCGGGACTCCTCATCGAGTTTCATGAAGCCGTCCGTGTTGAGCACAATGTCCGGCGCGTAGCGCATCGCAACCGTCGCCACCGGCATGAACTTGGCGTGCGCCTTGCCGATGTTCTTGCGTATCACCACGCGGAGGTTCAACTCCTGTGAGCGTCCGAGCGTCAGCAGCCACACACCACGCTCCTCGGAGCTCACGGGGTACACCTCCTCGTCGTCGATCTTAAGCGCGTCGACGAACACCTGCAGGCTGTGCTGGTCCGCCGGGCAGCGCAGGTTCAGTTCGCCCGTGATTTGGCAATCCGCACAGCCGCCGCCGCCGCAGAGGCAGTCGCGTGCGAACTGCATCCGCCGCGCCTTCATCGAGTAGAGCGGGACAAGGCCTAGACGGTGTGCGATCATCTCATCAGGGAGAACCGATGTGTTCTGAATGATCGTCACCGATTCAATGCCGAGCACGGGCACCTCTGCAAGCAGCACGCGCCGCAGACCATTGGCGAAGGAGTTGTCCACCTCCGCCACCTGGAACTCCAGAGTCTCCCCTGCCGAGTGTTCGTGTTTCCTGCAGTCTAGCACCTTCACCTTCATGGTGTGCGCGTCTTACTCCGATGCACCTAGTTCCCTACCTCTCAACCACCACCAACATAAACAACAACAGGCAAGCAACAGGGTGTATACGTATTATCTAGAAGAGGGGGGGGGGGGNGCACTGCTGCTGCTGCTGCTGCCGCCGCCGCAGACAAAATGGAACAGCAGCACCATGAGGAAAGATGGTACCGCCATGAATCTGCACACCGCGGAAGCGGCTAGAAACAACAATGACAGAGACATTTCCCTATTGGGGGGATGTGTGAAGGTGGTAAAAGAAGAAAAAAAGACGCGATTCACATACGAATCAAAGCAGAAGGCAAGTAGGCGATCGCTACACTACTGATGAGTGTGACACTTCAACTCCACTTTCCTGTTAGCTTTGACGTGACGAGGCCGCGCATTGCGTTTCTCCCGTCACCTCCCTCCCTCCCCTCCCCTCCCTCTAACGACAGAAGTGTCTACATCGTCCAGCTCGCACCGTGCACGTCCTCTACTCACGCAGCTGGAGGTAGAGGTGCTTAAGCTGCCGCGCCTCCCATCGCACGGTGTTCTTTGTGGAGGTGTCCTGCTTTGTCGGGTCGGGATGCACAAAGGCAGGAATCTTCTCCCCGTAGTGGTCCGCCTGATCGAAGAAGTTAAGAATCTCATCGAAGGTAGCGTCCTTGAGCACCACCATATGCTTCGCGAGGTGCATTGCGAGGGCGAGGAAGCACCGCTTGGCGTAGAACCACGTGTCTGTCATGATCTTGCGGTGGTACGGCTCCAGAGATTTGATGATGCGCGAGATACCGAATTCAAAGTTGCCCTTGGAGCAGTACAGAGTACCAATGACAAGGTTCACAATGCAAAGGTGCAGAGGCTGCTTCTCTGGATCGGCGTAGGTCAACTTCTCCTCCTCGCGCTCAATGCGACGCATAATATCCTCCGCCTTATCATTGAGAGCGGTCATGATGTACGCCACACACAAGTTGGCCAGCACGATTGCACTGCAGTTGAGGAGATTCTCTTCATTTGTCTCCACCACAGGCTCGTAGTAACGAATAGCTTCACGGAACTTCGTCTCCTGCATGAAGAAAACGTGGGCAACGTTCAGCTTCCAAATCTCATGCTCAGAGCAGAACTCCGCCGACTGGCGAAAGAGCTTCTCCACCATAGGATAGTTTTCGATCTCCCAGTAGATGTTCGCCTGTGCCATTAGTACAGGAATATACTCTTCCAGGGCGTCATCGTAGTTTCGCAGCGCTGAACGAACGCTGTCCTTATCATGACTCTGTTTTGCGTCTTGCAGCTTTTTGGTGAGTTTGCGAAGTTGATCAATATGATTCTGTGCTAGAATGTCAAACTTTCGGTACGCCTCAGCGGGCGAGGTCTGCGCCGTGATAAGCCCATCAAGGAAGTCGTAGAGGGATTGGTTCTTCTGGGAGAGGTACTTCCAACTGAGGTGCGGGTTCTCCGCCAGCACGTCGGCCGCGAGGTCAAAGTATTGGTACTTGCAGTAGAAGAGGAGAAGGTTCTGAAACGTCTCCGGTGGAAAGGGTGGGTTCTGCAGCAAGAAGTTGAGTTTGCTAAAGCCACTAGAGGGGTCCTCCGGCATGTTCACGAGGGCGGTGTTGTGGAGCGTGACAGGGTCCAGCTCCTCCTGGAGGCGTGGTGGCATGTCGGTGAGGGCCTCCTTCGCAGCCGGCACGTTCTTCATCATGAACTCTATTGCCGTCTTGAGGTTAAAGGCCTCAACAAGGGCCGTCTCCTTTAGCAGCTGCGTGTTGCCCACAGAGCGCGCCTCATTACCCTCCGTGTTGCTGCCAATGTTGAGCTCCGGGTGCTCTTGGATGCCGCGCTCAATGATCTCTGCGATGTGCTTCAGCGACGGGCCGTACTGCTGCATGCGGTAGTACGTCAACGCGACGTTGTAGGCGAGGTCGGGCTTAAAACCGAGGCCGGCCTGTGCCTCCTGGAACTTGGCCAGCGCCTCCTCGTGGCTCCCCTCGTTGCACAGCACGCAGCCCTGCAATATCGTCACGTCGGGGTCTTCGGCCGGGCACTTCTCGAGGAACGATTTAGTTTGCGGGATCTCCTCCTGCTCATATGCGATGGAGGCCTGCAGCTTTATCAGCCGCATTTCATACTGCTCAGATTCTATCATGCCGCACATCTTGCTCGCCTCTGCGTATGCCCCCGCCTTGTAGAGCGCCTGGCAGAGGTACACGCGGTACTCCTCCACGTTGGGGCAAATCTTCACAAGCTGCTGGTACATCCGCGCTGACTCCGCGAAATCGCCAACGTGGTAGTAGCAGTAGGCAATAAGAGAGATGGCAGCACGACTGCGGGGGAACTCCTCCAGCTGCTGGAGGAGAATCTCTATTGCCTCGTCATACTGATGGTCACGGATGTAACCGTACACCGTGGAGGTGAAGTTACCATCCTGCACCTGTGCCTGTATGCGGCCCAACGTCGTGCCGCCGCCCGAGGTGGTGGTCGGCCGCATGCCGCCCGACATTGTGCTGCCAAACGCGCCACCTGTCCCGCTGAAGCCGCCCTGCGACCGCATGCCAGTAACAGGCCGAGAGGACATTTGATTTCTGTCTTTATTTGTTGTCTCACACTTTTTTTTTCCTTTCCTGGGTATGTGCGTGTGCGTGGTAGTTCTTTCCCTGAAAGATGTCGATGCTCCCGCAGCAAACTCTACTCTGATCCGATCACAGTACAAAAAAAAAAAACTAAACATTAACAATGCCAACAACGAAAACAACAGCAACAAGAAGGGGAAAAAATGCAAATTTGCAACATGGTTAGCTGTGTTATGAGCACATGGAGACGCACACACACACACACACAGCCTCCCCCCCTCCCCCCCACAGCTCTCGTGGATGCAGGTCCATGTGTCCCCACTTCCCCCACTTGCCGTTGCCATCACACCACCGGTACNCCCTCCCCCCCACAGCTCTCGTGGATGCAGGTCCATGTGTCCCCACTTCCCCCACTTGCCGTTGCCATCACACCACCGGTACGTCCCCATCGGCGCGTTTACGCACCGCCATAAGCACAAACTGCAGATGGTACCCGTCGAGGTTGTAATACAGACCCCAGCCCCACAACGCCAGCAGCGATGTGAAAAATGCCGTGCCGCCGGCAAGCCACGCAGCGCCCTCGAGGCGGGTTGCATTGTCCTGGCACATGTGTACCAGTAGCAGGCACGTCAGCGCCAGCGACAAGGACTGAAACGGCTTTGACACTATCGTGAGAAGTTGTTGTGTTGGAGCCGTCATTCGGTGTAGACGAGCAAATATGACGGTGTCCTCGTCAACGAGGTCGCTAAGGACCAACGACTGGACGTGGCTGACCGTGTCCGTCAATAGACGGTTCGAAAATAGCAAGAGTATGACGAACCTCGAGGACGTCTTCACATCCCCGTGAAACACGAGTGCACGATCGCACAGAGCTACTGCGATAAAAAGTGCGCCCACAGACGCCCTTAACAACAAAAGAACACTAACCAGACGCTTCTTTCCAATAGCCTTGAGGAATGGAACGGCGGCGGCAATGACCATATGCGGAGTCACATACGCCAGCAGCAGCATGAGGGCCCGTACGGGGAGGGACACAGTACTGCTGCACATGGTCAAGAAGACGTTGAAGAAGCACGTCGCAAAAACGTCGTTGTATTCCTGCAGTGTCCACAGCAACACCGCGGCTTTCATACTGCAGCGGTTCAGGGTCTGCTGCGCAAACAGCTTCAAGTCCTGCAAACTCTCCGGCGTGCCCTCCACCCACACCGTCTCCTCCGTCTTGAGCTGCTGGCGACCGCAGGTGTAGAGAGCAAGCGCCGCGGCAATCGCACATATTGTTGTAAACCAGCGGAATGCTGAGAAAGCATCCCCGTCAGTGCTCTCCAGCTCGCTTAAGTAACACGCCAGAGCGACGGCAACTCCGCCCAGCACGTCGTACACCTCAGCGCCGAGGTCGCCCGGTTGCAGCTCCCCCCGAGACAGAGTCTCCAGCGCCGTCCTACAAAGGCCCAAGAGTTTGTCGTACACTGCCATCATTAGCGTAAAGCGCACGGCGGGGTGCAAGAGTGACGCACTAACAGGGAACCACAGCAATGCGAATGCCATCGCCCAAATAGGACCGCAACACGATAGTCGCCACATCTGGACGCGCGTGACCGAATAGGAATACACATTTCCGCAGCGCCTCTCAAATGCCACTTCCTTTACGCCGTTCCAAAAGGCGTATAGAAGCTGGCCAAGCACAAAATACCACAAAGTGGCACGACTGTCACTTCCTACGGTGCCCTCCTCGACGTTGGCGAAACCGTGGCCCACGGCCGGTATGTGCTGCCTCAGAAACAAGTCCGTGTAAAAGGAAAGGAACACAGCATGGAGCAGGCTCACGAAGGCACCACCGACATGACTAAGCCTCATGCCGTCTACCACGCAATCACCTTTTTTTTTGTTTTGGTGAAGAATAAAAAATAGTCACAAAATGAGAGATACACATTGCAGACACATGTCACGCATACATCCAGAAAAGCAGAGAAGCACGGCAACACCAGCTCGCAGGCCAACGGCCACGCAGCGCAGCCAACATTCGTCGCGGGCCACGGCAACGTCCCACTGGGCACGTCAACCTCATGGGGCAGTGGATCGAGTGAAAGGGATGCTCATCTCCCATAAAACAACCAAATTTGTCACGGAGAGGAATCCCATTACACAACACATCCACACCTGCCGCTGCACGACTCTCGTCTTTTACTGTCGATTTGCCGCAGTTCAATTCGATATCATGGAGCGGGAGGCCATAAAAGTAAGCCTTCGTCGCACAATTGATGTTTTTTTTTTTTTNTTTTTTTTTTTTTGGCCCTGCTGTCGCTCTGTTTCTGTAACATAACCACCACCACAGCAGCCCTTGCTCATTATTCAAATGGTGTCTGGACTCCAACGTCACATTCAGCCGCTGCAGCGGCTCATGCGGCAAAGGAGAGAGTGTCTCGCCGTATACTCTCAGCACCGCCTCGCACTACACGTAAACAGCACACCTGTTCTGGCCCGCCAGACCCACCACCAGCAGCCGCCGCCTCCAGACGATATGGCAGCGCCCCCTTACACTCGCCGTGGTGACCGGCAGCAGCGGTGTCATCGCACATTGCCTTCTCTGGGCATGTTCTGCTTCCGCAGCCCGGCTCAGCGCACTGTCCACAACAAACCCTTCACGTGTGGTACTCCATACGCCCTGATCACCGCCACAGCAAGCGTACGACACCTGAGGCCGCTGCCCCACATGCAACTTCCCAGGATGAAACTGTTCATGTCTTGTGAGGTCCTGGCATGTTTTCTCTTCCGTTTCCAGGGGACGGAAAAAGGAGCCAGAGCAGTAAAGGAGGACCGGACAGAAAGGCAAAGCGACTCATACCAAATGTGATAAAACAGGACAAAACGCGGGGAGAGGGCTTAAACGTACGCACATGTTGCACTAAGTGTTGCATTTGCACAATCAACTATGAGTCAAAGAACGAAAAATATGCTTCTGCGAGAACCCTCGCCTACAAGCGCAGCGTGGGCATGGCGTCGAGAAGTCATATTGAAACATCACGTCCCGTATTTAAAAATACTACGTAAACGGACAAAAGCCTTCGCCCTTCACCCACCCACCCACATTTCACGCTGGCCATCTTCCATCTTCCCTCACATATACACCCGTAGGATCCCCACTCATTAACCGTCATCGTCGCTGTCATCTGAACCGGCACCATATTCCTCGATATACTTCTCGTAGTTATAGTTGTCCTCGTTGTCGCCATCACCGTCATCTCCTTCCTCGTTGTCGCCACCACCGGCACCACCTTCCTCGTTGTCGTCACCATCCTCATCTTCTTCCTCGCTCTCGGCATCGTCTTCATCTTCGTCATCGACGTCATCGTCGCATTTGTGGGCCAGCAGCGCCTTGAAATTCGCCCCCTCGTCCGCGTACACAGCCCTGCGCATTGTTTTGAACTCCTCCGAGTGCCGTTTCTCCAGCAACTCACCGTCCGTGACGCCGACCGAAAGCATTGGCCGGCCTGTTGAGCTGACCGGTGCGACAGGCCCCTCGCTCTCCCTTGCCAACTCCTCCTTCATATGCCGCACGAGCGCATTCACCTTTGGGTCCCACGTGGTGCCCGTTTCAGCGTTCGCCTCCTTCGAGCCGTCGATAAAGTTGCCCTCCTCGTCGAATTCCTCGTAGGCGTACGGTGTCTTTGGCTCCGTTATGCGCATCGTCACCGGGTGCAGGCGCCGGTACTCCTCGTTCTCCTCGAGATTTTCCTCATCCCAAAGAACACGCTTCCGTTGAGCCATGGAGGAACTTACCTGAACGCTGCTCTTATTCTTGGTTGTTGCTTTTTTTTTGTTGTTGTTTTTCGTCTTCTTGTTGCTGTTTATGTGGTTTATCGCGCGTTGTCCCTGGTGCCTGTTAGTGGTGGAGGAGGGCAAGGTGCTTTTCTTTCTTTTCCCTTCACATGGTCGAAACATGTTCGTTGTTACGCGAGTTGAGAAAGAAGTCAAGGAAAAGAGACGAGTCCTGTTCAATAAGAAAACGAAAAAAACAAAGGAGCGAGGGGGGGGGCATGAGCTGCTGCACACGGCTTACCCATCATGTCCTGCCGCAGAAATGTTTAGCACTACACCTGGTGTTTGTTCCTGTCAAGCCGGCGGAGGCCGGGCCGATGGCGGCACAATGCGCTCCGCCATGGCAGGCGGCACGTAGCGGAAGATTACACCAGCGCGGAATGACGGCGACTTCGAGTTCGTCAAGTAATCCGTCTTAGTGGGGAATCGCGAGGGAATAGGAAAACCGTGAAACAGATGCATCAGCGCCGGTGTGGCGTCCTTCTGCGGCGCCCGTGCGGTGGCAGACGAGGTCACTGCACTGGCCCCCTCCGTCTCAGCAGCGGGTGGAGGCTTCACAGTTGACAGCGAAGAGAGCTGCGCCTTCTTCATCGCCAGCCGCTCCTTCAGCGAGGCGGCCGGCGTCGCGTGCTCGACGGCAGCTGGGGCCACAGAAGCGCTTTGCATAGCCTGCTGCTGCTTCTTTTCGGCGAGGCGCTTCATTATGCTGTCACGGGGAGACACGGCGTTTGAGGGCGTCGCTGTGGTTGTCACTGAGCTGGGGGCGGCTTCCTTCGCAGCGGAGCCCCCCCGCTGTTGTTGCTGTTGTTGTTGTTCTTGTGTTTGTTGCTGCTGTTGTTCTTGCTGTTTTCGACGCCGAGCCACAAGGGCTCGCCGAACGCCTTCATCGTAGTAGTCCTTCTGCTCCTTGGAGAGTTTATCCCAGAGTTTCGATAGCATATCCAAGTACGCCTTCTCCTCTCCATCCGATGCAAACGACTCCACCGGTTTCCATACACCCGGCTGCAGATGATCGGGAAGACCTTCCACCACCTTGACCGCATCCGTCGCGTCACTGCCTTTAACAGCACCCGATGGCTTCCTGTTTGCGCGTCGCTGCGACGAAAACTCCATCGAGCACATACTTTCACCAATTGGCAACATTGAGCGAGCGAACGTCAGTGCCTTTGTTGCTTCCGCCACACTTTCAAAGAGTACGTACGCCACCCCTTTCATATCTTCAGCCTTGCTGCTGTCAACGTTGCACGCAACAATGCGACATGTTTCGCCGTGCTCCTCGAACCGCGCATTAAGCGCCCGCTGAATATCATCAAACGTGGTCGCTCTCGGTATACCTAATATCTTCACCTCCTCACTAGGTATCGCATTGGCACCCACTGAGAAGGGGGTCCCGCACCGAAAGCAGTCCTCCCGCTTCACGGAATTTAGGTTGCTGCACACCCCGCACTCCCAGTCCGTTGTGGGGCGCTGCAGCACGCCGTGGTCCGCATGCACACTGAACGGCTCGGAGCTCAGCAATGCTGAGGCGGCCCCGCCATTGCGGAGGCCACCCGACCTGTGCCACCGCCTCGAGCGCGAGCGACTATGATTGCTGCTGTTGCTATCAGCACTGCTACTACTGCTGATGCTACTACTGCTACTGCTTCGGCCACTGCTTCTCCGTGAGGGACTGCGGTACCGTTTCCTTGAGGAGCGTCGGTGCCGTGAGTGCGATCGCCGGTGCCTCCTGTGGCGTGACCTCACCTCCGGCCTGCTGCGTCGACGGTGTGTTCGCTCGCGTGGTGGTGTTCCCCTATCGCGAAAATCCTCCATGGAGTTCACGTCTGCTTTTCAAGTAGGAAGAAATAAACTTTCCTCTTTCTTCTTTTGTATTTTTTTCCCCTCTTTCCTTACTGGATAAACACGCTTTCCGTCACGTGAAACTCCGTGATTTCAACTGGCAAATTCCAGCAAACGCACACACAGGTCACTGTATTTATATAGAAAAGAAGCTGTTTGTTTGTTTGTTTTGTTTTGTGTGTTTGAGCACGTATATGTGTGATGAGCTGTCCAGTGGGGAAAAGAGCACCTGTCACCACAGTAATGACAAGCGAGGGGCTGCAAACGACACACACAAACACTCTCACACACAGGCACGCACATGCACACGTGTCCAGACCACGTTACTCCCAAAGAATAACAACGGTTCAAGCGCATTGCATACAAGGAGAAATAAATAGAGCCAGCAACAAACACATAACAAGCTCCACACACTCACGTCGCTCTAGCCTCCTCAACTTTTATCTCTTGCAAGATCCTCTGCACCACCCGCTCCGCCTCCGCCTCCGCAGCCTCAATTATAGAGCGCTCCCTCTCTTGCTGACTCCACGTCTTATCCGTCTCCCGGCGCTGCGCCAACTCCGCCATCTTCGCCTTGGCGCGGCGCTGAACGGCAGCACGGATGCCCACATCGCCCAGCAGCTCACACACCGCCTCGGACACGGCACGTGTAGCGTCCCGGTAGTTCTGTGCATAGTTCTTACCCCCCGCACGACTGTCCGCCTCAAGCAGCTCTGTACCAGCTGTTGACACCGCGTGTGCGAGGGAATCAAGCGCTGCGGACTCTATATGATAATAATCGGCACACGGGCCGTCCTCCTCCTTGTCTTCCTCTCCCCCCTGTTTTTGGTGTCGTTTCTGCTTGTGCGACGCTGACACACTCTTGGCAGTGGGACTTCCATCACCATCATCATCGCACCGCGCCCCCGTAGAGTCAGTCGGGCGCAACGAGAAGAGCGGCACACGCGTGGGGAACAGCGTTGTGGGATCGACGCCCGCATCATCATTGTCGTCTCCGCGGTTGAACATGCGGTAGCCATCGGAGCGCGCCACGATGCCCGCACGAATCGAGGTGAGGAGCGCTTCTGCCACGGTCCACATCTTGTCCTTTGTCACCCAGTACTCTAGCCTGAACACCGGCTTCGCGTGTGACTTCGCGTGAATTGCCTCAAACGGAAGGCAGTGAACCGCGTTGCGCGCTAGTGACTCCGCTTCACGCGGGCCCTCGTACTGCAACCACACAGGCGCACCACCTTTCGTCCCGGCACGGTCTCCGGCAAATCGGCTCTCAAGTGCCTGCATGCACACCGCAAGCAGGTCAAGTTGGAGAACCCACGCAAAGTGCAGACTCGCTGGTGGAAAAGGCCCAGAACCCACACGCTGTGACGCCGTCCCCACGTGCGATGAGACGTACTTCTGCAGGGCCGTGACAATGCTGTGGTAGAGCGACTCTGACGCATCGGCATCTCCTGGCGCAAAGGCCTGCATGCCGCCATCAAAGACCGAAAGCGGTGCCACATTGTCGCGAGCAGAACGGCGGGATTTCGGTTTCTTGGAGGGGGGAGACAAGCGGAAGTTGTCCATGCCGACCACCTCAAAGGATGGCTGTATGGCCTTGCGCTCCACATTCTCCTCGAACGGCTGCGTTGCACGTCGCTGGAGAAGCTCCATAACGAGGCACATGATGGCCTCCTCCACTTCAGCCTCATTCATCGCCACCGCTGATCGCTGATTCTCGCTGTCGCGGTCATTGGTGGGTCCCGGTGTCCGCTTAGAGATGCGCGTGGAATTGGGCATGCACGCCCGTATCGTTGCCGCGTCCCCAACGCCGTGCTGCCGCCGCAGACTCGACAACCGCTCCGTATCCCTCGTGGTAAAATCTGTTTCCTTTGCCTTATCGAGGAGGTCCGCTGCAGTAGCAGGAGCGTGGCCACGCAGCAACGCAAAGGCACGCACAAGCCGCTCCACCGCCTCAGAGGTCTCACGGAGCTCTATGATTTTCGGGTCCTGCATTGGGTCCCGCGACGGCAGCGGCGGCGGCACACCAGCGAGAACACGCTCCACAGCGGGAAGCGGCAGCGACCTGCTCGTCTGCGACAGCGTTGGCCGCACTGTCTCCACAGCTGGAAGCGAGAATGTAAGTTGGGGCACAGCCTCTGTGCGAGAGATGCTTGGCAATGGAGGCAGCGACTCCATGGTTACCGGACTAGCCGCAGCAGCAGCAGCCGCATCATTGCAACCATAACCCCCAATACTAGTATCGCCATTCGTATCCTTCTTAGTGACGGTGAGTGCTACTGCGGTAGCTGCTGCACCCTTACCCAAGGGCACTACAGATGTGGGCTCCTCACGTTGCGCTTTATCTCTCACGAGATGCTGTGAGAGAGTGCTAAAAACGCTGCTTGCAGCATGCGAAGCAACATCTTCACGCTCCGCCAAAATAGGTGCAGTAAGCGACGTAAGATTTTCGTCTCCTACATTCGACTCCGCTTCTGTGGTAGCAGTGGCCACAATCGCAGCCCTCACAACACTCTCTGTTGTTGCAGAGCCTATCCGCACCGAACCCTCCGAGCTCCCCGGAAATGCAACGTACGACGCCAGCTGCTGAAACCCCTCCTTGCTCGGTGCGTCGATACCCATCTGCTTCACCTCCAAGTGGGACATAAGTGTGTCAGTGGAGGGCGACGGGTCTCGCGCCCCCGGCGACGCATTCAGAAGGGAGGCACGCATCTCTTCTGGTGGCCCAGCAGTAGCAGTAGTAACAGTAGCAATAGAAGCAGCAGCAGCAGCAGCAGCAGAATTTTCAGAGAGGCTTGAGGATGTGCCAATTGATGGTTGTTTTTTCTGGACCGTCGAGTTCGTCCGCCCTTCCTGCACCGCTACCGGAATGGGCATAGGAACAGGTGGATGCTGCTGCTGAACCAACACAGCCACGGATCTAACCGACATGGATGACGGCGACCGCGAAGAGTTCGACGTGGAGCTAGAGGCTGTACCCTCAAAGGAGTCCTCGTACGCGCTCATTGTCGCTTACTGTTCGACACCATTCACAGGAAGAGACAAGCAAAGAAACAACGAGAAATCAAGTGCACGATGCAGGGAAAGATGCGCCAGGCGATGCGGCAATCACCATACAGTGGCTCTCATAGGCATACACGCACAGAGATACACATCGAATGCATCGCCCCTGTGCAACTCACATGTCACTTAATGACACGCACCGCCGCCCCCAACGCCGTGACTCCCTTGAGGAACTCATTGGTCACGCTCGTCAGCTGCATGCCCTCACGCGTGCCACGCTTCACTTCGCTCACCCAGAAGCTGTTAGGCGGCGGCGGCAGAATGCTCATCCCGTTCTCCTCATCCTCCACCATGACCGTGAGTGACTCCACGCTGCTGGTGCCGTACACTTCGCAGTAAGCCGCCCAGTAATGCACTGAGCGCAGGCGCAGCACCTCCTCCGACTCTATCAGCTCTCGGTGTGCGCGTTCGCCGAGACTCTTCTCATTCGAAGATTTGCTGCTGTCATCAACCTCATCGTCGGAGTAGCAGGAATTGAACGTCGACGATGCACTTGAGTCACGAGTAGAGTCGGAAGCTGATGAACGCCTCTGCCGTTTCCGCGCGCGAGCACGGCGAGCGACAGAAGCAATACTAGCAGATGTGGAAGAGTTTGAAGCATCACCGCTTCTGCTGCTGCTGCTGCTGATGTGGTCACCACCGTTCCTGGAGTGCTTTCCTTTGTGGTCTCTCCCGCTGTCTCTTCTACCTCTGCTCCCGCTTCTACCGCCCCTGCTGCTGCTGCTGCTGCTGCTTAGCGTGTCGCATTCCATCATCAAGGCATCCAACGACGCCCGAGTGAGTGGGTTTGCCAGCAGTCGTTGCGCATACTGAAGAATCACGAGCCCGTCGCACATGAACCGCAGCATAGACGCCTCTTGCGACTGCGCACTTCCAAGCAGCAGATCTCTCGCGTATACACCGCCCCCATTGAAGTTCTGTGCGATGCGCTGCAGCCCCAGCGCCACGACCACTTCTGGCATCGTCGTGATCTGCGGCCCCGAACTCACCTCCATTTCCCTCTTGAGCCAATCCGCCACCTCCTGTCTCACGTGGCTGCGCAGCATCGTCGACCACACGCCGCACGAGTCAGCCGCCAGCAGTTCTTTCAGCGCCGCCGCATCCGCAACGCCGCACTGAAGGCACACGAGGCCGAGTGTAGACACCGGCAGGCCGTCCACCAGCACGTCGATGCCGATTCTCAGCGCGTCGGAGATAAATTCCGGCGAGATGTGCACCGTGCGGGAATGACGCAGCTGCCGCAGCACCTGCAGTACATCACGGCACACGCTCGGCACGAACGCCGTCGTGAAGCTGCGCGAAACGGAGAACGCGTCAAGCAGCCCACAAAGAGCGGAAATCTGGTACAGCACACACGCGTGACGGGTGCTAGTGTGCGTCTGCACGTCGAACTCCGCGTTGTAGTGGCATCGGCTGCATTTGAGCAGAAAGTCCGGCTGTGCACGGTCGAGTAAGCTGTCGCTGCAACGCCTACAGTAGTACAACTCACGCCGCCCGCGGACGGCGCGCAATCCGAGGAACTTCGCCGCCTCTTTTACCGACAGGAAGCCGCCTGCACGGTCCCGTGCGGCACGGTACGCGCGCTCCGTGAGGCGCCGCTTCGCTGCCACGTCAGGCGGGAGCTGCGGCAGCATCAACCCAGCGAACGGCGGCCAGAGCGCCTCCAGGCATCGCTGGACCGCCACCTCCGCACGCCCACACTCGTCAGCCGGGTCGTCATTCTGCGGGTTGTTGCCGATGTTGTTTTGGGGGTCGCTAGGGGCGGCGAGGAGACATTGAAGCGCCTGCAGTGTTTCCCGCATCGCCGAACTCTTACTCAGTGTGAGCCGAACGCCAAGAAGAATGCAGTGCGGCACAAACGGCCGCGTGAGTCCCATCTCCGTCAGCGTGTACGTCACCTCAATGGGTGTCATGCGTGCGAAAAGGGAACACGGGCGGAAGCATAGCGCATCCAGCAGGGAGTCCTCCGCCGCGGAGTCCATCGCCGCCCTGCTTCCAAGCAGAGCACGCAGCTTCGCGTAGGCTGGCCTGTTTATTGTCTCCCGCATGACCTGCCCTACGCCGCGGTGAAAGAGTAGGGCGACAATTTCTGTCAGTCCACCCGCTGACTCGCACACACCAAGAAGGGTCGCGAACAGCCCGCAAAGAACATCCTGCGTCGCTAAAGAGCCTGCCGCCCCGCCCTCTGTCGCCATCTGCCGCTCTGCTATCAGCGTCATGTGGTCGACGCACGCACGCAAGTAAACGTGCAGCTGAGGCTCACACCTTTCCAGTAGCGAGCAGGCCTCTTTCCGCGCAAAGAGTTCCTGTGTGGCTGCGCTCTCCATGGCAACCGGCAAGCGCGAGATCTGCCGCTCTAATTCAAACCGCTTGCCCATCTCCCGAATCGCCTCCTCCGTGTTATCGCGCAGCAAAAAGGAGTGCTCAGCGATGGAGCGCACCCACGCAAAGGTATTGTCCGGGGCCGTAAGCGCGAAGGCCGGGCAGTGACGGGCTGCGTACTCCCGCCAGTGCTGCTGCACAGCGTCATTGTTTGGAAGTGGTGTGCGCCTTTCACGTTTCCCATCATTCCGCTCAAAATCAATTGGCACATCGCAAGGATAAATAAAGTAATTATCTTTCATATGGCGTTCGTACCGTGTGGGATCCGCCACGTCCACGATTTTCTTGTGAAGCCACGACTTGCCCAAAGCGTAGAAGAAAACAACATGCTCAAAAGTCCCATCAGTTGCGATGCGATAGATCGTCAAGGGCCGTTTCTGGCCATAGCGATAGAGACGATACGTTGCCTGAGTGTCATCAGCAGGGTTCCAGCTCACGTCGAATAGAATGCAATGGTTAGCAGCGACCAGATTGATTCCAACACCGCTGGCCTTCGTGGAGCACAGAAGTACGCGCCGTGAAGGATCGTTCGTGAAACGTTCAATGACTCGCTGGCGCTCCTGCACATCGAGACCGCCGTGTAAAACATCGGCCACAAGTCCTTGTCGCTGGAGCAGCTGCCCCAGGAGGAACAGGTGGCTCCTGTAGGTGGAGAAGAGCACCACTTTCTCCTGCAGCTCCTCACTAATGCGACGCAGGAGGGACAACGTGATCATCAGTTTGGGGGACTCTGCTGTGTCCAACTGCTGCAGCACCGCGTCGAAGCCCGCGTTGTCCAAGTCGGGTGAAGACTCCTCACAAGATGGCGAGCGTGATGACGAGCGGGACGACGAACGGGATGACGAACGGGATGCCGAACGGGATGACGAACGGGATGACGAACGGGATGACGAACGGGATGACGAACGGGATGACGAACGGGATGACGAGCGAGATGACGAACGGGATGACGAGCGAGATGACGAGCGAGATGACGAGCGAGATGACGAGCGAGATGACGAGCGAGATGACGAGCGAGATGACGTGTAGGAGGAATAACTACTCCAATCTGATCTGTCTCCATCATCACCACCATCAGTGTCATCCCCCACGCCGCCGCGGTCGTCACCATCCACCTTGCCACTCGCATTCTCCAATTTGATGGGCGCGACTCGATGCGAAGGATGCGTCAGCTCTCGTGCGCGCCGCCGCGTCAGCGCGGGGTGGCAGCAGACGTGCGAGGCCTCGTGGTGTAGCGAGAGGATATTGCGCGTATTCACGTCCCGCGCGTAGCCTCGGAGCATGGCGTGGTACGCCACCTCCTGCCGTGGCGACAGCCCAACAAGGAAGATGTACTCGCGCCGCGGGGGCAGCTCACGCTCGAGCACCTCCGGCCCGCAGTGGTGCATCGTCGCGCCAAAGAAGCGGCGCAGCGAGGCGACGCATTTCTGCATCTCCACAAACTGCTGGTACGTTGAGTCGGCACACTGGCCGCGCTCGATCGGGGTGGTGAAGAGGCGGCGAAATGGCGCCGTGTCCATGCTGCAGCCCGTCACGACCGAATACATGACATTATACTCCTCGAGGTGGTTCTGCAGCGGTGTTCCTGTGAGCGCCACGCGCAGCTGCACACCGCGCAGGTGCTGCGCGAGACCGCCGACAAGCTTCGAGTTCGTCCGCTTCAGCCGGTGCGACTCGTCGAGGATCACAACGTCAGCACTCTCCAGTGCCTCCAACAGGTGCACGTGGCTGCTAAGCGGCAGGGGTGGACGCGCACGATCCATAATGGAATAAACACGTCGATGTGGCGGCGCCTCCGCTATTATCTCCTTCCACCGCTGAAGCAGCTTCTGGTACTCCTCATACCCGAGAAGAAGAATGCCCCCATTCCGGTAGAAGTCCAAAACGATGGCGTCTGTCGCGCGGGAGCCGAGTGGGGCGTAGACGGGAAGCTGGGTATCACCAAAAAGCGTAGGCAGCATCCACTCCGCCACGCTGCACTGCCACTGGTATGTGCAGCTGCGCGGCGTCAGTACAAGGGCACGTATCGCCGGCGCCGTCACTATCGTCGTAGCAGGAGCAGCAGCGAAGTGTTGCTGCAAAAGCAGCAGGAAACTCAACGCAGTGACGGTCTTGCCAAGACCCATAGAGTGGCCAATGATGCAGCCAAACACTTCTTGGTAAAGCCGCACTCGCTCCACAAGCGGAGCTGCCCTGCTCTCGTGTATTACACGTTGCACGCCGTCGTCAACCAGTTTCCGCCACAAGAAGTGCAATGCATCAATCTGATGCGGCCGCAGGACACCCGTCAGCGGGGCTGGAATGATCAACTCTGAGGTTTCAGCATCAGCTGCTACTGCTGCTTCCCCGTTGCCCTCCATTTGTGATGTAGTTCCCTTTGATTGTGGTATTATTGTCACTTGGGTCCACCCCACCAACTCCTCCCCTTTTAGACGGATTCGTCCTTTCCTATTTATGTTTTTTTTTGTTCGTTAGTGTTCACGCATTGCGCGTGGAGAGGAGAAAGTACAAAATCACAACCTCACACGTCACCACTGTGAAGGCGCAAATTCCCCTTAAACATTTCCTCGGAGAGTGCCAAGGCACAAATACGAGAAGCTTAACAAAATCGTATTCCTTTTTCTCATCCCCACACATACAGACACAAACACGTAAGAAGACCATGGATGTTAACGCCGACGTCGTTCACGCTCCCTGGCCGTGTGCAGCGCTTCCAATACACGGTCCCCATACTTCCGCTGGATGTACACGAACCCACCGACCAGTGCCAGCAAGGGCAGCAGCATGATGGTGACTGAAGCACACCATGCAAGGAGGCCCACAACCACGTCTGACGTCCCCGATGAGTACGCGTAGATGGACCACGGCGCCGTCCAAAACGTGTAATACAGAGCTGCAAATGGATACATCAAGACATAGCCCACCAGCCACTCGAGGAGAAAGCCAACAATGAGGTCTGTGAAGGTCTCCGCGTCACCAACGTTAAAGAGGGATGTGTACCAGGCGTTATCGTAGCTTAACTGCTGCACTTGGCTCACGGCATTTGCAATGGAGTCACGCTGCTCCTGTACGAAGTGTCGCGACACGATACCATAAAGCGGCTTTATTTTAGCTAACATCAGCTCTTCCTGCCGCTTCAACACGGCCAATTCCGCCATGTTCCGCTTGTGCTCCTCGTCAAGATTTTTGATAAGGTCTTTGTCTTCCTCCTTCGTGAAGAGCCAGCCGCGCCTTTTATTTGCCTCATCCAGCGCGTGCTGTGATGCGTACAACTTGCTGTACGCTCTGCTGAGCTCGCCATCGCGCAGTTCGCGGACCCCCTTTTCCCAGAAGACGATCTGCTCCTCGCGGCTGCCCTTCGACAAACTCTTGTCGTCATACGCCGTGGTGCCCAGCGTCAGCAGCAGCAGGGAGCACACAAGCAGCAGCAGAGCAGTGGGACCCACACCAGAGATGACCATTCAACCAGATTACTGTGCTGTGAATAGACTGGTCATGCACGCATAGACGCAGTCACGCACATGACAGAGTTGGCACGTAAGTGCGTGGAAGAGAAAAGGAAAGGAAAAAGAGCACCCCGAGGACAAAATAAAAACGTACACCTGAATTTCGTTGTGCAGCAACAGCAAAAATGGTCGAGAGCAGACGCATATCGAGAGAGAGGGAGAGAGAGAGAAAGACAAAAAAAGAATGATTTTTTTGGTGTCATTCCCACACAGGCGCCTTCTTTCCCCAAGATGCATTCTACCTCGCCCTGTTTCTGACGGAATGGCGTCCCATATTACAGCGGCGATGGAAGAAACAGGAACAAGCACACGAAGTTGGTGTTGGCAGGGCCAGCCAGTCCCACCACAACGCAGCGCGTTTTATTATCCATTTGCCTCCTTCCCCTCCCGTTTACCTTCTCTCGTCTTCTTGTTTTCCTTCTCCTTGGTGCTGCGGCTCACTGCCTCACTTGCCCGAGGATTGCACCTTCTGCCATATCTCGCGCAGGAATGCGGTATAGCTGGGCAGCGTGCGCACATCGTCCTCCATCATCATCCGCGTGAGCGCCGGCTCGAACACGGTGTTTCCCTGCGGGCATGCCTCCAGCGGAGCGCTGAAGGCGCAGCGACTCCCCTCACGCAGGCGCCACACAAGCACATCAAAGCGCTCGCGCAGGGCGGCGAGCTGCTCCTCCGTGATGGGCGGCTGCGCTGACTGCGGTGCCTCCGGGCTCGGCGTAAGCCCGAAGGCCTGCGCCACGTGCGCATCGGCACGTCGCCCATACCACAGCACCAGCGTGCTACCAATGTGCACAAGGAAGATGCCGTCAGACTTGAAGAACGTCTGCGTGGGGAATATAGGAATAGGCAGCTCCTCCGGTGGCGTAAGGGGCGAGTACACCTCGTACGACCAGCCAGCATAGTACGGCAGCATCCCGTGCGGCGCTATGGACATCACCATCGACATGGCGGCCACGCGCTCGTCAGGGAGAATCGGGGTCGCTGTCGACAGCCCAACAGCTGCGTTCCTAAAAAAGCCGTGGAGCAGCTGCGGCACGAACCGCAGTGAGTCGGGTAGCATGAAATGACCACAGCGCATTCCAAGTCCGTCGTTATGCTTCTTCACCGCCCGCAGTGTTGCGAGCAGCTTGTCTGTCACCCGTTGCTGTGCCTGTTGGAATGGACTGTTAACGGCGTGATCTACTGCCATCTTGCTGAGGAAGCACGTGACACCAAGCGAGTCGGCAGAGTTCACCACTGCACTAAGAGATGGCGACACAGCAAGCTGGTAGGTGTGCACACGAATACGCCGCTCACGAGCGCGGGTTGTGTGCACAATCGCAACTTGTACATAGGCGAAGCTTAACTTGACAGTGGAGCCGACCTGCAACTGAACCGTGTAAGAGGAGTCCCCATTGGCTACAGGGAGGGCGAGGAGATCCGGCTCCCGCACGTGACAGTGGCCGTAAAAGTTCGGCACAACCAACCCATTGGAGGTACGCACACGAAGCACAGCCTCGAACGCGACATAGCGCGTCAGAATACGATGCACCTGATCCGCCACACCGTTAATGTTTAGTGGCGTGGTGCGATATATGTCACCGGATGTAAAGCGCGCCAGCGGGGCAATGGTTGTCAAGTCAACGCTTTGCGAACCGCTAACGAGCAAATCGATAGAGATATTGCTGTTTGAACAAGCCAGCGCCCGTTGCTTGTACCAATCATTTGCCGCTGCGCACATGGTATACTCCTTCGGCTGGTTCGACAGCTTCGCTGGGTCAAAGCGCTGCTTCAGTTTGCCCTCACCAATGGAAGGCATAGCGTCGATGCTTGCGACAATCTTGCCACCGCTGTTCTCCAGCATCGATATCGCAGCAGCGAGCGCTGGTCCGAAGGCGCAGCCAACATCCTTTGTGGTGGCGAACGTCTCCGGCAGCTTCTCAAAGAGGTCCTTAAGGAGGCGATAGGCGCCTTTCACATGCACAACAAGTTCGTTCACCGCACACGGCAATTCAATCGGCTCAAACTTAAAATTTTCGTCCACGTTACACAAGTCGTGCACAACATCAGGCGCAACAAGAATCCGTGGTGCCTGCAATGTGGAGGCCAAGTTGAAGAAGTACACTGTCGACGCAAATCCGACGACGCCCATGTAGAGGGCATCCTCCTCCCTCATACTCTCGAGCGCCGCTAGGACGCCCTGGCAGATGGCAGCCAGCTTCCCCGACGCAATCGCCTGGTATGAGCAGTCCAACATCAGCAGAAACGCCGGGCGGTGCGGTGGGCGGCGCAAGAACTCCGATGAGGGGAAGAAGTCCACTGAGCAGTGCGTCAACTCTGGCCTCGACATCACGTCGGTGCGCAGGCCAGTGTTTGGGTCAAGCGGGCAGTAGTACTCCGATGGAACATCATTCATCTGCTGGCACAGAATACATTGCCAGCGCCGCCCGTTGTCGCAGAAGGTAGTGAATGGGTTGATATATGCCGAGCATTTGCGACAGCGTATCATGCGGCCGCCAAGCGACGAGAAATCCACCTCCATGAGCCTCGTTTCCGCGAAGGGCTGGAACATGATGCCAAACGGCAGCTGCAGGGTGTCCGCTAACTGAGACGTGCTCGGTAGCGTCTGAAACGTTGGTCGCATTGTGAGGCGACTCACAGGTCGTATGAACGGTGGTGCTCTTGGCAACCGTGACATGTCCTCCTCCAAGTATGAGTGCAGGAACCTCGGGATGGAGGGGTGATCAAGGAATTTGCTCTTGTCATGGCACTTGGCAAGCTGTACGTCCCAGCATGTGACGCTATCCGGCGGCTGACCCTGCGTTGGTAAGTTGGTGTAGAGCTGCGGTTTGGGGGAACGCGGGGGCGTCCGTGACTTTTGACACCTCATTGGCGAGGTCACCGTCGATCTCGCCGGTGATTCATTGCCTTGCTGGAGATAGGGGGCGTACGCCTGCTGTTGTTGCTGCTGTGGCAGCTGTTGCTGTGCGTAGTTGTAATTCGACTGCTGCTCGCCCATGCCCTGAGGAGGTGGCGCCTGCTGCGGAGCAGTGGGGGCCCACTGCTGCATATTTCGTGGGTCCTCAAAGGCGTGATACAAATTGGGCGGCTTTTCGGCTTTCGCGGCGGAGGATACCCCCGTCGCCTGCTGATGCATAGCCCAGTATTCCGCCGGCATAGGGAAGCTCATTGCAGCTACGCTACCCAATAAGACTCCTACAAATGAAATATATCGGACTCTATTGTGCCCCTATCCTTAAGAAAGAAGGACACGCACTTGATGATCTGCTAATGCTGTAAACAAAACAAGCAAACAGCAACAGGTAAAGAAAGAAAAACATTTTTAAAAGACGATTCTTATGGTGAGAGGAGCACAGTGGCGTAGTCCCCAAGAGGGGGGGGG